TAAATATTATTATTAGAAAAGATAAGTGAAATATTAATAATACATTATTTAAAATAAATCAAATTAGTTATTTAAAATAATAATGGCTGGTACAAGAATATTTCATTTATCCACCATAAGAACAGAAGTTTTAAAAATATGTATGTTTTATAAAAAAGAGAAGTGAATTTTTAAAGACATATTAATTAAATTAAATCAAACTATTTATCTACAATACAAATTTTTATAAAATAATGGTTTAATAATTATTAGTAAATCTTATATAATTTAAATAATAAGCCTACGCACTTTTCTGCATATAAAGGAAAAGCTACATAAATCGGTTTGCATCCCTGGCCAAAAAATACAATAGAAAGTGTACAAACAGAGCCATGGGCAAGTGGGAATTTTCGGTAGTCTGGGAAGGGGGTGGCCGGGTTTCTTGCATAATCCTCCGACAGGTCAAACTGGACATTCACTCACCTGCGGGGTGAAAGCGAATATGCGATCCTTCAGCGAGTACAACTTGCTGGTGCTGAGAATGCCCACATCGCGGGACTTCCTGCCGCTCAAACCCAGCTTGCGGTTGCGCCCGAGGTAGGTGTACAGGTGACTCAAAACACGGGCTGGCTGCACCTCAATGGGAGCCACCTCGGCGATTGTCTGCACATGCAGATCGTGCTCGGCCAGCTTGTCGCGGATCTCGTTGTCCTCGGCAATGATGACCACCTGGACGACCACATCGGGTTTCTTTTGCGCGCCCAGGCGACGATTCAGCGGATCCAGCTCGCCCACGGCCAAGAAGCCCTGAAATAAATGAACATTAGAAGAATATCTATAGCAGAAGGAGAATAATGCTCACCTCCTGCAGCAAGCGGCCGAGGATAAACAGGGACTGGCCCCACAGGAACGGGCAGCGACCGACCACTTCGCGGGCCTGCGATCCCGGCTTCTGGTACTCGAAGCCCACCAGATCCTGCGGCACCGCATAGCTCTCCGGCACGAGCAGTATGCCATCCTCCGAGCGCACCATGATCTTCTCCAGCCGGCCGGCGTACTCCTCCACCGCCCGCTTGTCGCTCTGGAAGGCGTGGAAGAGAATCAGGTAGCAGTAGAAGAGCGGCCACTCGCACTCGATGTTCTCGAACATGCGCAGCTCCCAGCGTTCGTAGTAGAGCCGCGATGGATCCTCCTTGGGAGTGCGGTAGCCGTCGCGCAGGAACCGCTTGCAGCCGTACTTGCCCTGCAGTCGCGACAATATCGCATCCTTGGTGTTGTGTATCAGCTGGGCATCGTCGACGGCAAAGGCCGGAAATCCAATGACACAGAGCAGTCCCGAGTCCAGCTCCTTGCTGTTGGACTCACGCGGCAGCATCGACTGGAGCACCGCCTGGCATTTGTGGGCCTCGTCGGCCAGCACATGGATCACACTGGCCGGCCCGCCGCGCGCCCCGAACAGATCCAGCTCGTTCATCGCCTCCAGCGCCGCCTTGGCCATGCCAATGGAGCTGGCATTCAACTCGGGCTCGCCTGGAAAACGCAAATGCATCAATCATCGACTGATCATATCGTAAATTATTATAGTTACAGGGTAAGACAATAATTTGATTATTAATTTTACTTTTTCTGGCTGTACTTTAATTTTTGAATATGAATTACTTATAAAAAATTCATTTAAAAATAGTAAACAAAAATATTTATTTATTTTACATTATAGTTACAGAGTAAAACAATAATTTGATTATTTATTTAACCTTTTCTGACTGTACTTTAATTTTTGAATATTAATTACTTATAAAAAATGCATTTAAAAATAGTAAACAAAAATATTGCCCATCTGGTTTTATTTTATTTTGCTAATTCATTTTCTTAGCATACTATTCAATTGATGAAGTATGTAAAAATTATGTTTTATTTATCTAAAAAAGGGATTTTGATAGGAAGCAAAACTAGGAAGGTTTATAAAAGATAAGATAGAGGAAATACATACAAAATAACTTAATTAAACATCAAACACTTAGCATTCACTCACCATGATTGGTCTTGTCGCCGCGTTCCCATATTCCGTAGTCCGGAATGGAGTAGGCGGACTCAATGTAGAAGACCAGATTCTGGATGAACGACACCTCGTCCAGGGAGAAGACGATCTGCAGACCGGAGGCCGTCATCTGGGCCAGGATCAGCAGGTACAGGGAGACGGCATCGATCTGCAGATGGCCCCACTCATTGTCGCCGACGACGGGCAGGCCGTTCTTGCTCGAGTACTTGGCGTGGAGGGAGTCGTAGGGACTCTGGGTCATCTTGAACTTCTCCACCTTGTCCTTCTGGTTCATCATGGCCATGAGCAGGCCGCGCATCAGCTTCACGCAGCTCTGCTCGAGCTCATAGCACTTGGCCCGGTCCTCGTCCTGGTCGGCGATCTTCTTGTAGGCCATGGACAGGCCCCAGACGGCCAGGATGCAGTACACATTGTCCCTGATCCAGGCGTGTGAGTTGACATTGGAGGCGGGGAACAGACCGGTGACCGGCTCCTGGTGGGCCAAGATCAGACGGTGCACGATGCGCTGGTAGTAGTCCAACCGGACGCCCGAATTGCTGCGGGAACGCATGGCCGTTTTCGAGGTGGTTTCTGTAAGTATTTTATCACAATAGAATGTTATTATCATTTTGAAGATGGTATTGTCTTATATACTAGACTAAAACTCTCTTGTATTCATGATTTAGTTTAGATTTGTAAGATTTTTTAAGATCTACATATACCATATTATATATAATATATCTGTCATGTAAACAAATATGATCTTGAAAGTATAAAATTAAATAAAAGTGTTATTATAATCTTGAAGATGGAATAATGGTATTTACTAGACCAAAACTCTCTTGTATTCATGATTTAGTTAAGATTTTTAAGATTTTTTAAGATCTATATATACCACATTCTTTATACTACAGCTGTCATCACAATAAAAATTTATTATAATTTTCAAGATGGTATTATGGTATTTGCAAGACTAAAACTCTCTTGTATTAATGATTAATTTAGTATTGTACATATCATATTCCATATACCATATCTGTAATATAAAGATATATAATTTTGTAAGTATTTTATCACAATAAAAAGTTATTATAATTTTGAAGATGGTATTATGGTGTTTACTAGACTAAAACCGTATTGTAATTATGATTTAGTTCAGTATTGTACATTTTTTTGTGGTCTACATATACCATATACTATATCATACATATACGATCTTGATTCTCTTACATATACAACGACATTTGTTTACAACGACGGCTATTACAGGTTATTTTGGTTCTGGGAAGGTCAGTTACGGTTGGTCCCAGTCCAAACCCTTTACACTCTATAGGAATATGGCTCCTTGAGAACGGAATGCGATGATCTTGATTGTTGTTTACCCTCGACGACGCGGGCACGCTCTATACTTACATAATGTCGGATCGGATTGGATCGGATCGGTTGGGATCGCTTCGGATCGTTTTGTTGTGGTTCCGTTCGGCGGAGTGGAGGAGGAGGAAGCCCAGAGCTCCCCGGAACACCTCGCGCCGCTAGAACCCGTAGAATGCGTTCAGTTCGCCGCGAGGACAGCGCATTCTCTCCGGGATTCGGAGGAGGGAGTGGCGCTTGGCTGCCGTTCGCGTTTCGAAGCCTGGCTGGTCACTTGTTTGCGAATAAATCGAGATATATTGTCGTTAAAATGCACCTAAAGTCAACTCAATGTCAATTCAATTTATCGATATTTCTGCCGGCAGCGTTGCCATCCTAATTTATACGGCGACATCGGTGGTATCGATAAGCGAATATACCAAAAACGATTACGATAGAGTGTCGGGGACGTGTCTTCGCTGACCTAGCGGAGTCACCATCCTGAACATAAATCTGAAGATTTTTTTTACCAAACTTGGCTTTCTAGCCGTAATTTCTTTAAAACAAGGCCCACAACTAAAATTATAACTGTTTCGAACAGCTTACATCATAAACTAACGATCCCTATCACTTTCTGGGAAATTTTTTTTTTTACCGATTTTTGATTTTTTGATAAGGGGTTACATCACAATTTTTTGCAAAAAATTACAAAAATTTAAAACTTCTATTTTTGAATGCCAATCAATTAGGAATTAAATAACGAGTTCAACGAGGTATGACATTCCATAATTGGATCATTATTTCCATGGTTACGGCCAAAAAACTGATATTTTAAGGAGGAAATTGTGGATTAGAATTTACGACGAAAACAACATTTTTTAACGGTTTTTAAGTCGTAGCTTGGACAAATCGAGGCCCACAGCTAAAAGACCGACTGTTTTGAACAGATAACAACCTGAACTAACAATCCCTATAACTTTCTGGGAAATTTATTTTTTGACCGATTTTCGATTTTTTGAAAAATTGCCGAAAAATGTATTTTTTGATAATTTTCGCACTTTTAATAAGGGGTTACAACGAATAGTTGTAAAATATGAAAAGCAACGTCTTTGTGGCACCTTTAAGACGACAAAACAATACAAATAAAATATATGCGGCGTGGGAAACCCCAAAGCATTGCAGGTAACACTACGATTATAAAGAAAATTGTTCTCACTATCTGAAAATTTCGGAGACACTAGAAAATCCGGTCTGAACTCTAGTTCTGAGCGAGCTTGAATAATGGACATGGAAAAACTGCTCTCAGTGGCGAGTGGGGAAAGTATACGAAAGTCGAATACCCTTCTCTGAATACAACTTAACTATAGGAATTAAGAATCGTATACAGTAAGCTTTAATGTTATTTTTAAAGTTCCGAAATCTGAAATGAAATCACGTTATTAGCACTTACTAGAAATGTAGGCGATTCAATACCTTTTAGCCAGAAGAAATGCACCTTTTCTCTAGACCCCATTCACCACACTCACATCGCCGCCGGGTGATTCAGATCCAAAGCTATGGGGCTCTCTGATTCCGATTCCGATTCTGATCTTTCACTTTAAGTATAGTGCTAGACTTCTGAATGGCATCAGTTTCAGATAAGCCACTGCATCGATTCAGACTAAGAGCCATGGTTCTCCGATCTTCAATTGCATTGTATCTGTATCTCTGCGGGGTGCTTTTATCCAGCTGTTTTGCCAGTAAGTTGTATCACTTTTTGAATAAAGAAGGAATGGTTTTAAAAACAAATTATATCAATAATGTTATTTGGATAATTTACAACACTTTTAGTGCATATCTTTCAGGAAAAATATTTATTTTTATATCGGGAAATGCAAAAAACTGGTTTTCGATGCTAATGCAGTACAATTGAAATCAAGTTTTCATGTCATAATTGTGTGTACGGATGGAATCGAGATATTTTTTAAAAATTAGTCATGGGTTTTTTGTTTTGATAACGGATTTGTATTAAATAATATTAGTAGATATTAGTTAGTGAAACTAATATTTAAACTGATTGAAGTAAGAAATCGTTTCCTAGCCAAAACCTACACTTTTTAATATTTTAAAGAGAGTTTTATATATGCATTAGATTATTTGTATAAATTCCTGTGCTAGTTAAATTTAAAGTAGGCTTTAAACCCTGAAGTCTCATATGTTTTTATTGTTTTATGATAAAATAAAAAACTTTTATCTCTGCTTTAAATTTAACAGTTTTCTCTTCCGCATGTTAAATTTTAAAGTAGGCTTTAAACTCTGAATTCCTAAACTTTTTTATTGTTTTATCTCTACTTTAAATTTAACAGGCGGACGAGAAATCTAACATCCTAAAAGCCGTTTTCTCGTCCGTCTGTTAAATTTAAAGTAGGCTTTAACCCCTGAATTCCTAAACTCTTTTATTGTTTTATCTCTACTTTAAATTTAACAGGCGGACGATAAATCTAACATCCTTAGGGCCGTTTTCTCGTCCGTCTGTTAAATTTTAAGTAGGGTTAAAGCCTTAAATTTGTATGGGAAATCAGAGTCTTAACCCCACTTTAAATTTAACAGGCGGATAAGAAAATAGCCCTAAAAATACAAAATAAAATAAATAAGAAAATATATATTCTTTCATTACTATTCCAGAACCGAAGCTGCACTTTGGCAGCTGTCGGGGATCGGGCCAGTGCCGCCTGCTGTCGGACTGCCTGGAGGAGCCGGGCTACGTGCTGGCGGAGGACTCCTCCGAGTGCTTCAACACGTTCTGCTGTCTGAAGAAACAGCCGGTGTATCCGCAGTCGGTGGACAACTACTGCCGCCACGACCTCAAGCCGCACATCTCGAACGGAGAGGTGACCAAGCGGCGCGAGTTCCCCTGGATGGCCATGCTGCTGTACGGCGATCGGCTGACGCCCAAGTGCGGTGGCTCCCTGGTGGGCAACCAGTGGGTCCTGACCGCCGCCCACTGTGTGCCCAGTCAGCCGTACGAGGAGGACCTGCGACTCGTTCGCCTGGGCGTCTGGGATGTCCAGCAGCTGACGGACTCGCAGGACATCCCCATAGCTCGAACAATTGTCCACGAGAAGTACCTGCCGGCGGAGACGACGGGCACGAATCTGGAGAAGCACTCCAATGACATTGCCCTGCTGGTTTTGGAGCGAGTGGTCACCTACTCGGAGTTCATCCAGCCCATCTGCCTGCCCTCCAGCCTTTATCCGCGGCGCGGCGACAACTATGTGAACTACGGCCTGACCATCGCCGGCTGGGGCCGCACCAGCGAGGAGTCCACGGCCACGGCGCCGGTGAAGATCAAGGCCCGGGTGAATGGATGGTCGCGGGACAGCTGCCTGGAGAGGTACAAGGACCTGGCCGATGGACAGATGTGCGCCGGCGGGGATAAGTCCAGGAAGGGCAGCTGCTTCGGCGACTCCGGCGGCCCCGTGATGGACGGCAACCAGCTGGTGGGCATCGTCTCGCTGGGGGAGGCCAGGTGCGGTTCGGATCGGGGACCCATGGTCGTCACGCGAGTCGACTCCTATTTGGCCTGGCTGGGGGAGCACTTCCTCGATCGCCCGGAATCGCCGGAACCAAAAATCGAGCAACCCATCAAAAGAAACTCGGGCTTTTTTAACATTTTCGCAAGAAGAGTTTTTGGCAACGCAGAAAACCAAACAAATCAAGGAGATCAAGAAGTTGTGCCCTTTGCTCTTTGAAAAATCTATTAAATCGAGGAGAAAAAGTGAAAAAGAAGCGAGATTGCGCCTAAAACTACGAAAGTGGAAGCGAGAAAGACACAAATTCGAATTGGCCCACTTCGATTATTTCGTACATATCAAAATGATATGATATCAATGTCAATATGATATCGGATTTCATCAATTGATCATCATTTCGTTTCGTAAATAAAATGTAAATAATTTATTTGTAAAATGTACTTTTTTTAGAACACATTTTCTACCCAAAACTGTAGCCAAAACAATAAAAAATTGTAAAATGTAAATGACTAAATTTCATGAAAAGCATGTTTAATTTTAGTCGTGATCTTGCTTTTTTAACTAACTCAATCATACGTACTGTTGTTGCCTTTAATCTAAATTTTTAATTCTGTTTAAATCTAATTGGCTATGAATTATTTTTTGCTCTTGCTTTATTGTTTAGTTAATCCAACGAAGGTTAGAAATGTAAGAATGATTTTTTAAGACCAAACCAAACCTTTAATATTAAATCTAATTAGCGTTGAATTATTTTTTGCTCTTCCTTTATTGTTTAGTTAATCCAACGAAGGTTAGAAGTGTAAGAATGATTTTTTCTGGACTAAACTCTCACTGGAATACAGGTCGTATGAGTAATAATTGGGCAACCTTTAAGTTCTAAATCTTAAAATAAAATATATAGTATTGCATTTGTTTTGTTACCTTTTCGAAAATCATATTGCCCGCTCCAAATCAATCCACTCGAAATGCCAGCTTAAAGGTAACGCTTTTATTGCCCCTCGAATGCCTAGAATCTTCGCCCGAACCTCAGGCCACCGAACTGCACAGTCCGCAGTTGCTCACCGGGCACATCTTCATCTCGATATCCTCGCCCACGCGCACCACGGCGGCCATTCCGTTCTCCGAGTGCGGCGAGATGTGACAGTGGAACATCCAGTAGCCGGGACTGTTGGAGTAGAACCGGAATATCGTGTAGCCAAAGGCGGGCACCTGCACCGAATCCTTCAGCGGAGCACCGCGTCCGCGACGCGGCAACGGCGTCTTCTTGTCGATCTGCTCGATCTGGCCGATCTTCTGCTCGCCCAGCACGCCCATGCCGACCACCCGAAAGGTGTAGCCATGCAGGTGGATCGGGTGCGGCGTCTGCGAGAGGCTGGAGACGACGAACTCGACCTGCTGATTGGCCGGCACCTGGATGACATTCGAGCACTGGCAGTGCCGCTGCCGGCAATTGAAGCCCAGATTCGCCTGCTGCGAGCGATTGCAGAAGAATTGGCCAACGCCCAGGTTTCGCGTCTGCAGGAGCGACATCTTGGGCATGTTGAAGCTAATGTCGTCCATTTGGAAGCGGAAACCCTCGCCCTGGCGCACCTCGAAGGCGTTCATGCTGGTGTAGAAGGTCACCGAGGGCGCCACTTCCGGTTCCGGTCGCTGGGCATTCAGTGTGGCCAGCGAAATGCTGCTGCTGCCACTGCCCGCCGTCTCATCGCCCAGCTCATTGAGCGTCTTGCCAGGCGCATCGTACGCATAGCTGAGGGTGTGCGTGTCCAGCTTCCGGGGATCTGCGTCCCTGTAATGGAGCACCGCCTCCTGGTGCAGCTGGTTCTTCGCACAGAAGCTGTAGCCCTTGACGCGGATCCAGTAGTTGGCCACCTCCTGGTTGGCGTGCAGCACAAAGTCGAAGCGCTCGGCGCCGTGGAACATGATCCGCTGCACCGTCACCGGCTCGATGTCGTTGCCATCGCTGGCAATCACCACCAGGTCGTGGTTGTCGATGCTCAGGCTGATCGGGCAGTTGGAGACGCCTTGGGGAAAAATTCAAATTTTTGATTTTAATTTAAAAAATATAATTTTTGTTTATATTATTTTCTGGAAAGTTACTTATTCTCTTCTTTTTATTATTTCCTAATTTCGGTTTTTGTTTTAGACTGCCATGTCAAACCGTTTTGGCTTTCTGTTCAACTTGCGGTTTTTTGCGTTGCTATTTTATAGTAGTATGATTAGTTTTTAAGGGCCGGACAGCCTTACTTCTTTACTTCAAGGAAAAAACAAATTTTTTATTTTAATTTATAAAATATAATTATTTTTTAATTATCTTCTGGAAAGTTACTTATTCTCTTCTTTTTATTATTTCCGAATTTCGGTTTTTATTTTAGACTGCCATGTCAAACCGATTTGACTTTCTGTTCAACTTGCGTTTTTTTGGTGTTGCTATTTTATAGTAGTATAGATACGTTTTCTTCTTCACTTCAATTACATAAGTTAAGCATTTTTTTTTCTTGCTAATGTTATATATATTTGCAAAAATCTCCTGCAGGTGGCGCTTTCTCTGACAACTCACCATTAAAGATCACCCGGAAGCGATAGCGTCCGCCCCTGACCACCGGAAAGTGGGCGTAGAGCGTCGGCTTGGCGGCCTTGACGCCCTTCTTGAGGTTCCTGCCCCGCCCGTTGATCAGGATATTCTCGGCCACGCTCTCCACGAAGTTGTGCACCCAGTCCTGGATCATGATCACGTGCTCCGTCATATCAAAGTCGTACAGATGGGCATGGGGATTGAGCTTGGGTGGCATTCGCACCACCAGCGCACCGGCCAAACCGAAGGCACGCTGGTGCTCCGTGTGGCTGTGCCACCAGTTGGTGCCCCCATGATCCACCTCGAAGCGGTAGCGGAACGCCTGGCCCGCCTCAATTGGATACTGGGTCACGTGGGGCACCCCGTCCATGAACGGAGTGAGGCGCTGGTGCATCCCGTGCCAGTGGACCGTCGTCGTCTCGTGCATGCTGTTGATCACGTCCGCCACCACGGTGTCGCCGTAGCACACCTCGATGCTCATCCCGGGCAGCTGGCCATTCACCACCATCACCTCGCTCTCCAGCCCATCAGCGTATTTGCAGTCGTCGTTCGCCGCCAGCTGGTCGGCCAGCGTTATGCCATCGATGTACTCCTTGCCATTCAGCTTGAAGCGGAATTTGGACTGGAATAAAGGGATTTTGGGATGGGTAAATATGTATGTACATTTGATCCCCGAAAAGATATAACAAATGGACAATAATTCGCCAGGCACGAGGCAAGAACAAATAAAACCTTTTCATCATCGGCAAAGATTAAGATATTCCCAAGATAAGAGCGGTTTTAATGATTTTATGAATTTTAAATAGGAAGTCTTAAATGTCAATATGCTAAAGAATCTCGGGAGTTTCGAAATTACTTAAAAAGGTGTTCAAAAGTATGCAACAGTATGTTTTAAATTTGAAAATACAAACTTCCTTGTTCCCTGCATACTTTAAGATAGTTTTACAGGTGGTTTTTAAAAATCTAGCGACTTTTTAACAAAATATATTTTTAAGGAGCTTTTGCTCAAAAGAGGTTTCGAAATTACATTTTTAGCCGACTTCTGAGAGACCAGATCTCACAATTTTCTTCTTCTTCCTCATTTTCAAACTTAAATAGGAATTTTAGAGTGACCAGATTTGCTTCAAATTGAATTTGTGGAGAATTTATGGAGACAGGATGATGTCTAAGGTCTATACCAATATATATCTTAAAGTAAGGTTTCCCGGTCTCACCTGGAGATACCGCTTGCAGGTCTCCGCCATCGTATCGTCGTAGTGCACCACCATGTAGTAGTAGCAGGTCATCGGCTGGTGATCGGCGCAGTCGCGCCTGCAAGGATGCCGCTGGTTATCCTTCTCCGCCGCCCGCCACTGCGAGGACTCGCCCGCGCCTGAGGACAGCAGGGGATACATCTGCATTATCCGCTCATACTTGCTCACGATCCGCTTCCCGCTGGCATCTATTGGTATTATTGGAAAATAAGTGCCTTTAGATAAACTCCTTCTGAAGGTTCAAATTATTGATATTGTTAAACAAATGTAGTTTTAGTATGTAGTATATTTTATGTATGCAAAAGTTATATTTAATATTAACCTTCGAAATTTAAAATTCTTTGTATGTCAAAGAACATATTTAAATATTTTTTTAAATTTAATTTAATAGTGAGTAAAATGGTGATGTTAATTTATGGGCTTAGAAATTTGATTTCAATTGCAGAGTCACTTTTTTAAATTCCAAGGAAAACTGTAAAAAAGTATTTCAAAAATTTTTTCTAAACTTTAGTTGGGTAATTATTTCAATAGAGGATTTTTGTATAATATTTCGGATTTATAGTTTCACTTAAGCACCTTGAATGCCATATATTTGCACGCTTATGAGGCACAAAGTGAAGATCAGTGTCTGCACCAAATTGAATTTCATGCTCGCATCGAATCGAACCGAATCCAAATCAAAATCAAAAAAAAAGAGAACAGAATACAAAATTTGTTAGCCCTTGTGGCTGTGGCTGAGGGCCAAATGGGACTGTCAATGGGGATCCGTCATCGGTTACCTTTTTGTAAGCGACTCCGCCGGGAAAGTCTGTAAAAATTACCCGGAATCGGTTGCTTGTCGCCCGTTGTCGAACAACTCGTAGCGGTTAATTGAAGATTGCGGGGCCGACAAGCCGCTGGAAGAACAGAAGATGCCGATTACTGACGCAAATACACGAATAATTTCCCATGTTCCCAGCCGCTACCGTTGGCCAAAATGATTTGCAGGTGAAATGGCAGTGCCATTGGCCCAGTTTTTTGTTGTACATTCGCTGAAAATAGTTGGAAAATAAGGAAAGTTTAGAAAATCTAATTATCTTAAAAAAAATAATGATAGTTAATAAAAAAAATGAGAAAATTTTAGAACCTTACTTATACAAATTTACCGAAATTTGTGCTAATAATTTAATTTTAATTTTTTTTTCAAAGAAACATTAGTGGCGGGAAATTCAAATTAAAATTAAACAGGGTTGCACCACATGTTATTTTTCCAGGGTTGACAAATGCCCGCTGGGCGGAAAAGTTTAAATATACAGAAAAAGAGATTGCACTTTTCGTGCAAGTTTCATTTTAGAAATAGGTAAAATATTTTTGTTTTTCCCATTCAAAATCAGCCGTTATCACCTGTACTTTTGCCCCCCATTTGCCTTTATATTTATCTTGGTTTTTGATAGGGCAAAAAACAAGCAGCAAGAGTTGTCAACGTAGATTAAACATTTTAATTTCTGTGCTGACGCTAATCAGACGGCGATTGCCCACCAGCCGAGAATTCCAAATTTCTGCCAGCCCCCCCCCATGTCATCCCCCCACCAGCCCCTCATTAGCATATGTACTATATAATGTATTTTGAAATTCGTTCTTCATTCGCTTTTATCGCACTGGCAATACTGGCTGTGCATGTGTATATGTATGTGTTTGTGGGCGGTGGGTGGTTCGGGGGGAGGGGGCATGATTATGCATAAAAACAAACAACAAGTAGCTGCAGCAAAACATATAGCGGTAAACGAACCCACACATGGGCATACATACGTACGAAAACAAGTTTCAACGGCGCAGAAATCGTTCAATTGGCCGCCATGGAGTTCATTAGCCAGTTCATACGACTGGCGAGCAGACGCGGCAACGGATTCGGTCCAATCCTGCAGAGAAATCGGAGCAGCATCGTCCAAAAAGAGTAAGGTTTTTGATGTGTGTGTGGGTGGTTGGGCTGTAGGGCAGGGTTGCCACCCACCTGCACATTGATAACATATTTCACATATTTCACAACATCGGTATTCATCATCATCAGCAGCACCATGGACACCACCATCCACTCAGCGGGCATAGCCGAGATCCACATGGTTCCCATGAGCGTCATTCAGAGGCCCATACCCTCCGTTCTTGACGAGAAGAAGGTGCAATCCCTGATGGAAACCATTAAGGTGGGTGCAAGTAGTAGTAGTAGTCCCGAACCGAAAGGTGGGGCAGGTACAAACAATGTACCCAGATAAGGTGAAAGGTACAAAGTGGGAATCTTCGATGTCTGTAAATAATAGTGGTTAAAAATAGCATTGAGATTTCGAGTTTCAAAGTGATAAGGCAAAGATCATGGCAAATGGTATATGGTAAGGTGATATATACAACCTATTTTTGTGATTTTGGTAAAGAGATTATTGATAATATTTGTTATTTGGAAATATAAATTTTCTAAGAGGGTTCTTTTAAAACTAAGTATTCTTGTAGGTGATACAAAACCTATTTTTGTAATTTTGGTAAGAATAATATTTGTTATTTGGAAATATATATTTTCTAAGATTATTGATTACTTATTGTTGATAATATTTGTTATTTAGAAATATAGGTTTTTCCTAGATTATTTTGTTATTTAGAAATATACATTTTCTAAGAGGGTTCTTTTAAAACTATAACTATATATTCCTGTAGGTTTGTAATCAAGGTGATACAAAACCTATTTTTGTGATTTTGGTAAGAATAATATTTGTTATTTGGAAATATAAATTTTCTAAGATTATTTGTTATTTAGAAATATATGTTCATTTTCCACGATTTTTGATAATATTTCTTATTTAGAAATATACATTTTCTAAGAGCGTTCTTTTAAAACTAAGTATTCTTGAACTTGTACTATATTTTGTAGCTAAAAAAAATAAATTATAATTATAAAATTCTTATCAAAGTGGGATAAAATCTAGATACACTTATCAGAGCACTAAAAATAGGTTCCATACACCACATACCATATATATACCTCTTCTTTTTTTTACCAGGGCGAAAGCAGCGAGGACGAGGTGCCCCCCATCGATCTGCTGTGGATCACGGGCGACGAGGGCGGCGACTACTACTTCAGCTTCGGCGGATGCCACCGGTTCGAGGCCTACAAGCGTCTGCAGCGGCCGGAGATCAAGGCGAAGCTGGTGAAGTCCACCTTGGGGGATCTGTACCACTACATGGGCTCCAGTGCACCCAAGTACCTGGCCTGATTTATGTTATATATATATGTGTGTATTTTAGAAATGCATTTCTCGTTGACTTATTTTTGATAAGAAAGTCGTGTTTTTTACTTATAACCGGATAAAGTTGGAATTTCACGGTCAAAGCAATAACAATAGCTTTATACTTTGTTTATTTTTTTTGGCAATCATTAAACTTGCGTATATAGCGAGCTTATCGCTGGACTCTTAAATGGTTTACCTAATTAAATATAGAAAAATTAGCATATGTGCGTGCCTTAAAGTAAACTCTTACTATTTCTTATGACTTCGGGACTTCTCTCTTTACTAAACGCTATTATTGACATATACGATCTCCCTGAACGCTGAACATATTCGAAATGCAATGGGTCATCCTCACCAGAGGAACGGCGATCGCTCGCGGAGTATCCGCAGTCCGTGGCGCTGCCAGTCGTGCTGCGATATCCACAGCTCGCGGGCGCTCTCCAGCACGGACATAATGGCCGCTCCCTTCCAGGCCACCATGCCCGCGTCCATGCCCTTGGTGAAGACATTCACCTCGGTGTCGGTGGGCTGAATTTGCTGGCTAATCCGATGCTCCAGCCAGGCGGCCAGTCCCGGCAGCTTGGCACTGCTGCCGACGAGCAGTATGGAACCGAACATCTTGCGCCTCGTCTCGCCGCTGGACAGACGGCTGATGGATCGGATGACGGCCTGATCGAGGGGCAACACCTGACCCGTCTGGCCATTCTGATAGCAGTTCGTCTGCTGGCCATTGCTGTTCGCCTGATCCTCCGTCGTCTGATCCACCACAATCAGCTGCTCCTCATCGTCGGCGGTCACCGGCAGTTGGAGCTGAGAGCGTTGCTGGGTTGCCGTGGAGAGGCCGTTCTTGCGGCCCGTCTCCTTCAGATACTCCGCATCGAAGCAGTCCTCGCAGTCGTACTGCTCCTGCGCAGCCTGCTGCGTGCAAACCGACCGCATGCGGCCCGTAATGTTGAGCAGTTCGGTGTGAAAGAGGGCCAGAGGCGCCATGATGGCCTCGTCGCCCACCTGGATGGTGTAGCGCAGCCACTGGCCGTTTGGCCGGCGCAGATTAAAGTGCTTCTCCTGGGCGCCACAGACGCTGGCATTGAGATGGCAGAACCGCTCCTTCAGCTCGTCCAGCAGATGGGCATCCGCATAGCTGTCCTGAACGTTGCACTCGCGGTAGGGAAAGCCACATTTGCGCAGGAGCAGGAGAAGCACTTGATCCAGATCGCCGCCGCCATAGGGCAGCCGCACGCGGGCATCCAGCTGGGAAATCCCATCCTCGATGCAAGCAATCGAGGTCTTTTGGGCGCCAATGTCCACCACACAGCCGTAGCCAATGCCGGCGCCATAGGTGGAAGCCACGCTGTCCTGGACGAGGAAGCAGCGCCTGAAGCCGAGGCGCTGCAGCAGCAGGGTCATCAGCTCGCGCAGATGCCGCCGCACATAGACATCGTTGACCACGAGGACGGCACAGTGGGTGTTCAGTTCGCGCAGCGGGATCTTGAGACGGGTCTCTAGAGCATATGACCAGATGCGCTCCAAGTGCTGCAGGCTGGCCTGTAGAATGAAATGTTCTTTAGTATATCTAATATAATATTCTATAATATCATATCTATATCACAGAATGCCATGAAATTTCTAATTTGTTTAATTAGAAGAATGAATTAAAAAAACTTTAATTTTATTTCACATAGAATATAAATTTAATGTTTTTCTAATTCATTCGGAATTTAATGAATGGATGAATAATTTTTATGAATTTGCTAGATTTTTTTTGTGCCTTCTTTTGAGAACAAAAAGTGGACAATTTTTAACAAATCAATTTTAACTGCTTATGCGGTTATTCCACTACATCGTTCGGATCATTCATTAGTACAATTTTTTCTCAGCCCATACGATTTTACGTAGGTGCGAGCAAGATCCGATTTACAGTAGCTCTAATAAATGAGCAAAATTGTACTTTTTAGATTCAATTTTGCTCATACAAAAAAAAATAAAATGGTGGCCTTCGGTTTTTAAAATTTTGCTCATTAATTGCTCATTGCAGCTGACATATATCTGTCTTGCTCGCACCTACGTAAAATCGTATAGGCTGAGAAAAAATTGTTCTAATGAATGAGCCGACCAATGTAGTGGAATAACCGCATTAGTGTATAAAATTCAGGCAGATTTAATCACAAAATTATGGGGCTTTTTTCTTCAAAAGAAATTGTCGTTTGAATTATTGAGGAATTCATGACATTCATTCATTCAATTCTATTAAACTCAAAATTCTAATTAATTTATCATTTAAAACAAAAAATTCAAAATAATTCATTTCAAATTGAATGAATAAATGAATAATTTTTATGAATTTTTTTAATTTGCCTGAATTTTTTTGTGTTTTCTTTTGAGAACAAAAAGTGGACAATTTTTAACAAATCAATGTTAACTGCTTAGTGTATAAAATTCAGGCAGATTTAATCACAGAATTTTGTGGCTTTCTTCTTCCAAAGAAATTGTCGTTTGAATTATTTCGGAATTCATGCCATTAATTCATTCAATTCTATTAAACTCAAAACTCAAATTCCTTCAATTCTATTAAACTGAAAATTCTAATTAATTCAATTCTATTAAACTTAAAATTCAAATTCATTCAAATCTATCATATAAAACAAAAATTTCAAAATAATTCATTGAATCCATTCATGCAGGGCTCTAATTCATATAAAACAAAAAATTCAAAATAATTCATTGAATCCATTCATGCAGGGCTCTAATAGAAATTATCTAAGGATTAGGAGGGGGATCTCTAACCTGCAGGGAGCCGCCCTTCTCCTTGTGCACATTCAGTTCGCCCCGCTGCATGGGAAAGTGGATGTCGTAGTCGCGGGCATCCTGAGCGCTCAGTCGCAGTATCCGGTCGTCGAAGAGGTGCTCCAGCCAGGGCAACTCCTCCTCTGGGATCACCTGCATCTGCACCTTCTCCGCCTGGCTGCTCCGATTGAAGTGGGCCAACTGCTGGGGCGGCGTGGCCACCCTCAAACGATTCTTCTCATCCACGACGCAGTGCTGCAGGATGCGCGACACCGCCAGGCGCTGCTCCTCAAAGTCCACCATTAAAGCAGTGGTGTTCACGTTGTCCAGCGGCGGCAGGAGAGGATCATGATGCGGTTGGTCCGTAGCCGTGGCCAAGCGACGCCTGTAGGCCACCGCGTGCAGCAGGGTGAGCGGATTCAGGTCGGCCGCCCGGCCTATCCTCAAATGCTGCGATCCCGGATGGATGACAATGATCTTGGGCGCCTCCAGGGGCTGCGGAGGAGGAGCTCCCATTGGCGGAGGAGCCGGCAGGCGGCCACTGCTGGTGCTGCTGGCACGGGATCGCCTGCGGGAGGGGGAGATTGGATTTAATGGGCTTTCTTACGTCCCCCGCTAACCCAACTCACTGCATCCTGCGGGAAAACAGCGGCGGAAAACAGCGAAAAACAGCGGAAAGCCGGGAAATTAAAAGAACAACAAAAGCTGTGTGTGACCAGGCTACGAAATACCAATAGATACCGGTAGATACTGTTTGGGTATTTTCCCTTGCTATTTAGTATCTTAAGTGTGATTTGGTATTTGCAGTATTATTCAGTATTACCACTGATAACATGGTTCTGTTAATCATATTACCACAAACACTAGTTGTGAAATACACCATTCCATTAACCTAAGTCACTGCATCCTGCGGGAAAACAGCAGCGGAAAACAGCGGAAAACCGGGAAGGTAAAAGAGCAACAAAAGCGGTGTGTGACCAGGCCACGGTAGATCCTGTTTAGTATTTTCCCTTGCTATTCGGTATCTTAAGTGGTATTTGGTATTTTCAGTATTATTTAGTAATACCACCGAGAACGTGGTTCTGTTAATCATCTTTACTTGTGAAATACGCCATTCCAATTCGATTCGAAACCGATAAAAACAAAACTCTAAACCAAATCAACAGCAGGAATGTCGCACTTTACCTGCCTGAACTGCGATGCCCGCTTCGCCAGCGCGGATGTGCAGCGGGATCACTACAAGACCGACTGGCATCGCTACAACCTGAAGCGCAGGGTGGCCCAGCTGCCCCCGGTCACGGCGGAGGAGTTCCAGCAGCGCGTGCTGAGCGCCCGCAGTGCCACGGATGCGGCGCTGGAGGAGCAGCAGCTGAGCGTCTACTGCCAGGCCTGCAGGAGGCAGTTTGGTGGCCAGAAGGCCCACGACAATCACCTGAACAGCCGCAAGCACAAGGAGCTCCTCGCCCGCTTCGAGCGGGATCAGATGATGGCCAGCGGTGGCAGCGCCAGTACCGCCTCCGCTTCCGTTTGCACGCGCAGCGTCCTCGAGCCACGCCCCCATCCCGCCCTGGCCGCCGCCGCCGCTGGCAAGGGTCGTCTGGCCTTTGCGGAGCGAGCCGCCAAGGCGGATGAGGACCAGGAGATGGACGAAGACGACGACGACTTCGAGGACATCGAGGAGGAGGAGGTAGGATTTGCGCTAGATGCCGCTATCTTGAGTTCTCAAGAATCTATTACTAACATCCCATCTTAAAGGGTTTCTTCAGGTTTTACTTACTGTTTTTTATAACTTTTAGGGATCTACCGAAGATTTCCTTAGCGTTTTACTATAAAATCTTAAAGAATAATCTTATTTACGAGAATTTTAGACTCTATAAAAAAAATTTCCTTACTAGAGATACCCTTTACTACATATATCTTATTTAATATTTTTAGGCCCGAGAATTGAAGATCATCTGTAAAAGATAAACCTAGGATTTCTTCAGTGATTTACCATAAAATCTTAAAGAATATTCTTATTCCTAAGATTTTTAGATCCTCTTAAAAAGATGTTCTTACTACAGATCTCCTTTAATACATACATATATCTTAAGGAATATTCTTATTCCCGAGAATTATAGATCATCTATAAAAGATTTTGTTAAGGAATTTAAGAACATAATAATTTTAGAACATCCGTAGAAGATTTTATGAAGGAATCTAAGATTTCCTCAGTGATTTACTACATTATTTTTTTTTACCAGGAGTTCTGAGAACTTTACATCCTCTATAGTAGATAATAAGACTTATAACTGAGATTATGAATAATTCCCAAAGTCTGCCTCACAGTGATTATAATAATCATAATAGATTCTTAGCCAAAAAATCTTAAGGAGAAACCAACTGAAAGATCACCCTTTTAAGACTTGATGCCCTTATAAGCTACCTATAAACCCTAAAATTTATGATTTCCCACAATTATCAACTAAAATGTATCATTTATTTCAGGTGGACTCCGATGAGTGGGACAAGATACCCGAGAATCCGCTGACGGAGCGCGACTGCCTGTTCTGCTCACACGAGAGCGAGGATCTGGTGGAGAACCTGAAGCACATGTCCGTGGCCCACTCGTTCTTCATCCCAGACACAGAATACTGCACCGACATCGAGGGACTGCTCTACTACCTGGGCGAGAAGGTGGCCAACTACTTCATCTGCCTGTTCTGCAACGATCGCGGCAAGACCTTCTACTCCCTGGACGCGGTGCGCAAGCACATGGTCGACAAGGGCCACTGCCAGATGCTCCACGAGGGCGTGGCGCTGGCCGAGTATGCCGAGTACTACGACTACAGCAGCAGTTACCCAGATAATGTGAGTCTGGCTACTATATATTACACCTAAACAGGGTTCGGAATTTGATACACATGTTAAAAACATGAAAAATTGTATTTTACAGTGTGAGCAAAGTTGTTGACATGTGTGTCGAAAACAAAAGTGTTATTAACACGCCGTGTTTTTTACACAATGTGTTTTTGACTTCAAAAGTGTTCTAGTCAAAAAACTGTAACTGTTAGTATAACTGATAACATTTTATAGAATTCTATTTTATAACTAAACACCGGATTTTAGAGCGAAATTGATCAGAAATCCAAAATGTTATAGAAATGTTAACAGTTTAACATAAATTTTTGACAATATCGCTGTGTTAAAAACACGCTGTGTAAAAAACACGTCATGTAAATAACACAAATGACATGTGTGTGATATTTATGTTTCTAACATATGTAGGCTACAATTTTTAACACACATGTCAATAACTTTTTTTTAACCCAACACTTTGACATTTAACATGTTAATAACACAAGTTATTTTCCGAACCCTTCACCTTAACTATTTGCTCATACCTTTTTTGTTAATTCCTCACACAGAAAGAAGGCATGGACATTGATGACGAGGTGGTGCCCGAGCTGCTAGACGGCGATGAGTACCAGTTGGTGCTGCCATCCGGGGCAGTCATTGGCCATCGGTCCCTGCTCCGCTACTACCGCCAGCATCTCCGGCCGGAACGCGCTGTGGTCCTCCAGAAGTCCGACCGCAAACTGCATCGCGTGCTCAGCGAATATCGTGCTCTCGGCTGGACGCACACCCAACAGCTCTCTGCCGCTCGCAAGGCACGCGACATTCATCTGATGAAGCGCGTCCAGTCCAAGTGGCAGATGAAGCTCGGCTGCAAGGCCAACAAGCTGCAGAAGCACTATCGCGCCCAGGTTCTGATATAAATCGTTGTTTTCTCTCCATTTCCTTTTTAAAAAGCTATATCTAAATCCATTGTACAATAAAAACGAATTGAATTTTGCTTAAATTAAGCATATTTGCTTGCGTTCTATATTACTAGCGATTTCTCGTCAAATAAAATTACATAATTTAAATTAACAATTAAATAAAGTGTAATTTTGATTCGTTTATATAAAGTAATGTTATGTCGTTACGGTTACAGCATAAAATTAAACATTATAATTAGAGCAAAAAAAAAAAAACGGTAGGTTCTAGCATGTAAAAAAAATAAACTCTGCAAAATCCTCCGCCGGGGGGCGTGGCCGATGATGTGGGCGCAGCGGCGGTGAGAGCTAAGGTGAAGTGACTAATCAGTAAAAACCGCAGTTGAGTGAGTTTGAGTGGTGTGTTTTTTTGCGTGGATGCATGAGGGTCAATTTCAGCTAGTTAATGTTAATGTATTTATAGTTTCGTTTCGGTAGGCGTCTGAGGCTTAAATCGGGGGCCTTATCTCACAGGAAATATAACCTTAACTTTCATTTTCTCAGTTTAAAGGCATAACTAGTCATTTTTCTGCTCAAAAATCAGTTTTAAATATTTAAGATAATTTGAAAATTTTACAATTTGTACACAAACACTAGTGAAGAAAATATGAAATAATTTTGGGATTAAATATTCGTCAAATCAAATACATAAAAAATTTAAAACCAAAAATTGATAATCGAATCATTTAAAGCTTCTTTGGAAAACATTTAGATCAAAACATTTTAAAAATTCCATAAATACTCCTGGCACATTAAATCTGAATTTTTTAAATATTTTACAAAAACAAATCCTACAAACTCGAATCATTTAAAGCTTCTTTTTGAATACATTTAGATGAAAACATTTTAAAAAAATCAATAAGCATTACCCCTGAGATAAGACCCCCGATTTGAGGCCACATTTAGCACTGCTGCGCTGGTGATTTAGTGGTTCCTTCGTTGTGTTTGTGGTTGTGGGGGTGGTGGCGTTGGCGGTGCAATAAATAGCAGCAGAGAGCGGCAAAGGGTGTGTGAAAATACAAGTATATTATTATCCAGTTTATGCTAATGTATAACTACAGGATTCTGTTGAACACAAACGCCCACCATGGGCGACGACGAGGAGGCATCGCTGCTGCTGGCTGCTCCGGTGGCCGCAGACGAGTTGTTGCTGCCGCCACCACCTGCTGCATTCACCTGGGCAGAGGCGGGTCCGCTGATGTGCCGCCTTTGGCCAACGTGACCAGGTCCTATAACTCCTCCTATTCCTCCTCCTCCTGATGAAGAGGCGGAGGACGACGACGACGAGGGCGGCAGCTGCAGGGGCATCGACATGGGGGGCAGTGGATGCGACAGCGGCAGCGGCAGTGGCGGCAGCGGCAGCTCGCTCAGCGAGGCGGGCGCCGTTCCATACAGCTGCGTTCCGGCGGGCTGAGATGGAAAGAGAAAGGCGGCCGCCGACGGATTGGGTCCGCTATTCGGACCACCGCCCGCCGCCGTGGCGCTGATCACACTCGAATCGGTCATCATGAGATGCGAGGCAGCTGCGGCCGCTGCTGCTGCCGCCGCCGCTGCTGCTGCGGCCACCGAGGAGGATGAGCATGAGGATGAGGACGAGGACATGTTGCCGTAATAGGGCACCGAACTGGGCGCATAGCTGGACGGCGGCTGCAGCTGCAGGATCGTCGGCACTCGCATCCTGCCTCCATGATTATTTGGCGGCGGTGGCGGCATCTGCGGCGGATCGCATTCCATGGCGTGCGGATAGCTGATGCTGTTGTGATTGCTGCTACTGTTGTGGTGGCCGTAGAGGCGATTGTGGCGCGCGCTGTTGCTGTTGCTGCCGCTGTTGCTGTTGCCGGGACTAATGTGATTCAGGCTGCCCAGGCTGTTGCTGCTGTGATGGCTGTTGCCCAGCGAGGGCGGCGGATGGGCGTTGGGCTGCAGGCTCAGAGCGGAGAAGTTGTTCATCGCATTGGCCGCCGCCGAGTGCATAAGCAGGCCTGAAAGATCAAAAATAAATTACATTTTTAGATCAATTTTATATTCTTATAAATTAAATTTATAGTTTACACAGGCATCCTTGAAAAATGCTAGACTTCTGGGTTTTTAATAGAATTTTCCAAGGATTATTACTCCCTCCTCTGTAACCCCAAAAGCAATTAAGTTTTCTAGCCCCTTTTTTTTGTTGATTATATCATAAGTTTTTATTGAAGATTTTTTTTTTCACTTTTTTTTTGTAAGTTTTGTCTTTTGCTTTGGTTTGCTTTAGTTTTTTTTTTATGAATTCCTTTTTCTGGTTTGGTTTTGGTAAAGTTTCCATTTCGGTTTCATTAATCGTTAATAAATTATCTCGTACTTATTCAACTTAAACCATCAGCTGTTGTATGTTTATATTATATAAATGCCACATATGTTGCATGTCCATATGTGTGTCGGTCTGTCGGTTTGTGTGTGTGTGTATGTGTGAGTGCTTTTTGTTTGCCTTAAATTTGGTTTAAATTTGAATTTTCATACTTGTTTTTCATATTTTTGCAATACTGTTTTGTAAAAAAAAATGCATTATGGTCTCCCCGATTTTCCCCGTTCTCATTTCCTCTATTGCACTTTCTTTTTGCTTTCGTTTCCGTTTCCGCTTTTGAATCCAAAATGCAACTCTGCTTAAATAACAATTGGTTATCGTTATCGTTGCAGTTATCGTCATTATTGCATATTTTCGCCATCCTATGTGTTTTTTGTGGGTGTACGTGTGTATGTATGTATGGTGACTTTTAAACTTATTCGACCTATAACACTCGCTTTTGGGGCTTTAGTATTTTACACAAGTTTCGTTAAGTGTCTCTCCGGTTGCTGTTAAATTCATGGATCATGGATCATTGATCGATTTCTTTTTCTTTCGGGGCTAACCTCTAATTTTAATAAATATTTACTTTATATGTATTTCGTATCCGTTTGTCTGTCTGCGTTTTTTGCTTGTGTCTAATAAAATTAATTGAGTTTTTCCGCATAATTACTTGTAAGTGTTATATATAAGATGTATGTATGTTAATTTATTAAATGCTAAAGTTCTTCTCTTTAGTACGTACTGATTTAATTTGTTATGCTTGCTATACGATTTCATTAGGTTTCTTACTTTTGTATGGTTTACTAAACGCATTCATTTCTTTACCAATTCTTCGATTTTCTGTTTTTCTGCCTTTTTTACATGCCTACGACTTTATACTTTTTACAAACTATGATTTGTGTTTGGTTTTTAACTCGTATTCGCATATTTGCCGCACTATCGATACTTATCGCTTTGTTTGTTTATCGGTTATCGCTTATCAATCGTTTCAATTAAAACTGTTTTGTATATATCTATATATATATATTTACCGCTGCTTTATTTCTGAGAGTGTCTTGGTATTAGCTTTCTTATTTAACATTTTTGCCTGTTTTCTGTTTTCTTTTTTATTTATATTTTCAACAAGGCCCGAACTTTCTGAAGATTACGGCAATGTTAAAATTTTAGAGAGTTAAATATTTTTAGCGGTTTTTTTTATCACAAAAGAAAGCGGCTATCGCTTGCTCGCTCGCTCTCCTTCGTGTCTCTGGGGTTCCGTTACACGAAATCCCTGTAAATTCCCAATAGATCGAGAAGGAGAGCGAGAAAGCTACTGTTCAGAGTTAACCCTTTAATGCCCATGAAGGGGTCGTAAAAGCAAACATAATGCATTACATATCCAGAGTTAAATATTATTTTTAGAGGTACTAACAAGTATTATTCTCGACTGGGAAAATTCGGCATAAACAATTTAAAGTTTTAAAACAATGAAAACAAGGTTTATCAAGTTCGCTTTCGAGAGACTCACTTAATGCATTTGAAACATATTTGTATTCTTTAAAAGTAACTTTAAAATAACTATTATTATTTGCTTTTACCACATTTTATCCGAGGGCAATAATGGGTTCCAAATTAAGGGACGAAAAAAAAGAAGGATGTAAGTATGTCTATGTTACAAACTGTGTTTTTCTTTTTCCATTAAGTTCATTACTTCTTTTTTGCTTATGTACTTTGGGTTTACTAAACGGCATTATTTCTTCATTACCACGTTTTGTGAATTTTGGTTTCGTTTTTACATGTCTACGATTTTCGTTTTGGTTTTATACTTTTTACAAACTATGATTTGTGTTTCGTATTTCGCATATTTCACTGAGATCCATTATCGCTTTTTTAAATTTCCATTTCAATTTTCGTTTCTAGCACTTAATCCTTTCTTTTTTAACTATAAACAGCAGGGTCGTTAAATTCGACTGAAGAAACTCTGAGGAACGCTACGAAATTGGGATTGTTATCTGAAAGTAATGACTTTGATTGCCTAATTAAAAAGGTATTCTATAAAATGTAAACTTTTAAATGAAATGTACCTGAAACCTTAATCACAAATATATCAAACTTTAGAAGCCTAAAAATCAATTCGAAATCCCAAGAGATTGAAATTTTTAAAACAGGATTAAAAGAAAAACCACTTGAACAAAAATGTTGTTTCTTCTAATACTCCCAGAATTATTCTTCCCAGTCGGGGAAAATGTTTGGAATATCTCCTGATGACCGCTGTTTTCTCTCAGTGTCATTTTACTTGTACATCTGTACCTGTACTTATGCATATATGTATGTTTATTAAGATGTATGTATATATGTATGGCAGTCATTAAGAAAGTCGTTAAGGATTCTTCTTATTTCATATATTACTCTTATGTATTCGCAAACTCTTCGTACATTTCTATGACACTAAATGCTTAGACCTAAGTTATTAATCTTTAGACATGTTTTTGCGTAATTTAAGTTGACAAAAAAACGTTTAAACACTTAACACACGATTGTATCTTCATCCGAGCGCTTAAAATGCGTGAGCATAATACAAATTACATATTAAATTCTAAAAAAAAAATTATGCTTTCTTGAAATTAGTGAAGTGAAGGCGCCACTATATTATGTCTTGTAGGAAAAAACAAATATTTCTCTTGTTTTCGAGTGGCGTTGGATAGAGAGAGAGGGAGATAGAGGGAGAGACAAAGACAGGGATAGAGGCATGGAAAGAGATAGACAGTGTGTGTTCGAAAGAGAGAGTGTATATTTACAAAATGCCGGATGTGTGAGATAATGGATATAATAACATGACCAGCGGATCACCGGACTGCAAATGTTGCATATTGCATGTTGCTGGTTACTGTTGTGGCATCCTTGAAGTTGCCGCTGCAGTTGATGTTGCTGCTGCTGCTGCTGCTGTTGCTGCTGCTGCCGCTGTTGCCGGTCATCGGCGATCGTCTGCTGCCATCATTTGAATTTGCATTGGTTTTAGATTGATTTATATTTGTGTGTGTTCGAGAAAAAGAGAGGAATTTATCTTTATATTTCTGGGAGCACAATCTTCTTGCATTGCTACTTTTCACAAACTTTAGTTTCGTACTAATTAATTAAACTAATTAAATTAGCACTAAGCGCCGAACTAAAGATAAAACGAAACACTTCTTACATTTTTGGGGTTGGTGACTAGTGCAACTAAATGGTAATTATAATTAGAAATCATAAATGCCTAATACAAACAATATATAATCAAGTACAAAATTTTGAACACACATTAATTAATTAATTCTAATAACTAAATTATAAATGCCTTTCGTTGGCGATTTTTACACACGCACACACATAAAACACACACGAAATGCAACAAATGAGGATTGCAATCATGCCTTTGGCCTGAGTACAGTCGCCACTCGCTACGAACTACAACATATAACTGGGGGTGGAGCTTCTCTTTTTTTCTTGTCAGCTCACGCAAAATTATAATCATAATCGACAAACATAAAATTCTATGGGACAGCAGCAGCTACAAACTGAGAGGGCTTTAATGGTATCGATTTTTTAGGATCTGGGGATCTTGGGCCTCGAATGTAATCTTTAGCCTATTGTCTATGGTAACCCTATCGCTTAATTCCAAATAAAATGTATTTATTATTTTACTTTAGGTTCTTTGAATAAATTTGATAAAATTTAAGGAAGAGGTTCTGGTTCGTTCCAAATTAAAAATTAAAAATTTTTGGTCCTTCGAATTATTTTAGTTATTATTTTTGTAATAATAACAAGGGACGATAAAATCACCAATAGAATTTTTGGAATTGTATTATATATATCAAAGAAACTGTTATTTTGTAAAATTATAGAAGATATATAAATACATCCCAACCCACTGGGGTAAAAAATTAAAGAAAATTGGGAATTCAAAAATAAGGTAACAAAAAATTTCATTTAAAATAACCCCCACAACCATTTCTTTGATGGTTTCTAATTGATAAGAACCAAAAAAATAGACCACAGTTTACATGGGGGCCCCAAAATCGAACCATTAGCCAAGTTTTGGGGAATTGTGTCTAGATTCTAGGTTATAGGTTAAAGGTTATTAGTCAAGGGCTCTCGGCTACAACTCACCGTGACACTGGGCATCTGAGGCACCCGCGAGTGGCGGCAACGGCAGTGGCAGCGGAAGCGGCAGGGGCAGGGGCAAGGGCAGCGGCATCGCCTGCTGTTGCTGCGCTGTAGAGGAGGAGGATCCCCCGCCGACGCCCGATCCCGATGATCCGGCTGCCGTGGCCGCTGCTGTCGCCGCCGTGGGTGCCGCTGCGCTGGATGAGGAGACCGCTCCACCGCTGCTGCTCGTTCCTAGGCCACCGCCTCCTCCGCCACTGGAACCTCCTCCTGCTCCGCTGGAACCGGAGCCACCGGCTCCTGCGTTCGCTGTGGCGCCCGCGCCGCTCGTATTGGTCGCCTCGTCGGCTGTGCGCTTGAAGAAGTTGTGCTGCAGGGCATAGTAGGGCGTTACCCGGGTCTTGGGGTCAAAGTCGAGCATGCGCAGGATAAGATCCTTGAACTTGAGATAATCGGAGACCGAGTGACCGGGCTCATCCAGGCGTCGGCCACCGGGACCACCGGTTTCCACACCCAAAATATCATGCAGTTTACGCGAACCGGGCGGCTTGTATTTCCTCCCATTCTGATTCTTCTTCAGCACATACGAGCCATCGGCTACGATCTTGTCGAAGAACTTGCGCGTCTTGTGCGCCTGGTCGAGCAGATATTTCGGCGGCATGCCCAGCACCTCGACGATCTTGTTCATCTGGTCCACCTCGTTGCAGCCGGAGAAGAGCGGCTCGCCGGTGTGCATCTCGACCAGGATGCAGCCCAGCGACCACATGTCGATGGCCAGGTCGTACTGGATGCCCAGCAGGACCTCTGGCGAGCGGTAGAAGCGCGATTGGATGTAGTGGTAGATCTGAAAGGGTTATTCGGAATTAAATATTAATATATTCTTTAGTAACTTTTGTACAGGGGTGCTCAAGTCACACGACTATAACTGTGTTTATACGATGCCGAATTCACGCCATTTCGTGAAATCAGCAACACATGAAAGTTGACTATGATTTAGATCTGGTAAGCAGATCTGGTAACTCTGTATAAGTTATCGACATTGCCAGATCGTTAGAAATTGAAGACCCTTTATAGGCCATTTCTCTACTCAGCGGTATTAAAAATTAGAAATGATCACCTATTTTTACCGTGAATAAAAGCATGAATTCTCGGCTGTCGTATAAACAGGGGTTATTTCTATATCGCGCTTTCAAGAAATCGTGATTCCCATCGTATAAACATAGTATATCTCACATTGGGCACACGACGATTCTTTGGAGCACCCCTGACCTGAAGCCAACTTACCCTTTGTCCCAGCTGGCAGGAGCTGCCAAAGTCAACGATCTTGATCGCCGAACGCTTCGGGTTGCACAGCAGGATGTTCTCGGGCTTCAAATCACAGTGAATTATGTTCAGTTCGGGGGTGCTGAGGAAGAGCAGTGCGGTGCACAGCTGCTGGGCGAACTTGCGCGTGAGGTTCAGCGAAACGCCCCGGAAGTTGGTGTTCCGCAGCAGGTCGTACAGGTTGTATGAGAGCAGCTCGAACACCAGGCACAGGTGGTTGCGCCACATAAAGTGTCGCTTGAGCTTAACTGTTTAGATGGAATGGGAATTATTATTAATATTATTATTTATATTTTATTTAACACTTCATTTACGAACCGATGTAGTATTTGTTTTCGGCATCCGCCCGGTTCATCATCTCGAGCAGCTTAACCTCGATCTGTGCCTGGTTTAGGAACGGTTTCTTATTCTTAATTATCTTGATCGCCACGTGGCACTGCTCCTCGTGATCGTAAGCCTTCACCACCTGACCAAAACTGCCTTTGCCTGTGGAGATGGATGGATTTTATAAGTATATCGAGTATTTATTATGCATTGGCATTCAAGAACTCACCGATCAGCGAGTCGATCTCGTAGCGATCCAAAAACTTTTCGCCATTCTTGATTATATAGTCGTGATTATCGTCGTCATAGCCATCGTTATACAGTTTTCGCTCCTTTTTGTTGGACGAGTCGTCGTCTCCTTGCGTCTGCTGGGCACGACGTTTCTTTTTCGCATAGTAAACCTGGAATTGAGTGAATTAGGAGTATTAGTTTTTTGACAATTAATTAGGGGAAATGTCTTACAAGGTGGAAAACTATTATATTAAAGTTAGGATATCAAAACAGAAAGATTGTCATGTGAATTACTATGTAAAAAACTATAATATTTAACTATTATTTAATTTGTATTATTAGAACCAAGACATATTAGTTTTTTTTCTAAAATATCAAAGCAGAAATATTTTTAAATTTAATTTAATTTTTTAAATAGCTTAAAAATAAAAATATCAAGATATAAAAAATCAATGCTCGCCACCTGGCGGCCAGTGGCGTGGCTTAAAAACTATAACGCCCCTGCTGGAGATTACAGCAACTACAGGGAAGCAACATAATCGATCGATGCCAATCGATTGTATTCAAAAATGCGCATATGATATGTTTTCTAAGCCCCTTTGAAATGGGGAGAAATGTGAAAATATAAAACTGCCCCAAATTGCAGGTGGTGGCAAGTTAATTGGATTTTATTGGCCAGCTGAAAGTTATCCCGTTACTTCCACTTCATCAACGACAAATGTAAACATAAAATGGGAAAATGGGAAAATGAGAAAATGGCGAAAATGAGATGAGAGACAAGACCGGCAAATAAAAAACAAAAAAAAATACAAAAGCCGAAAGAGGGCGACGCCGAGCAGGAAAAAATGAGAGCTCTCTCCTTTTATCCGCACTCTCTCTCTCTCTCTCTTTCTCTCTCTCACGCTCCCCTTTTCTTATTGGGAAAAAAGGTTGCAGCTTGGCGAAAAAAGTTGTTGCTAACGCGGCAAGTGGGCGGTGGAGCGAGCGAGATGGCGCCACATGGCTAGCAAGCGAGAGAGAGCTGGGGCTCTCTCTCCAGAACCGAAAACTGTAGCATACAAAACGGCAGCGAAAAGGCATTTGCAATATTACGGCATCTCTAACGGCACAAAATGACAACTGCAAATGTAACTGTAACTGTAACGTCTGTCAAAAGCACTCCAACTGCTCGAGAGCACCTGTCAAATTCAAATACCTGCAACCAACCGCATCCGCATCCGCATCGCCAGCTGTCAAATCGGCCAACTGCCAAGCTCTTATTATTTATTTTTACCAACATCAATATGCTTGACTTTAAATAGGAAGTAATGCTTGATTGCTATTATTAACATATTTCTTTTGTATCTTTTTATTATCAGTAATTTTTTTTAGTCATAACTAGTATGTTAGTTTGATAGTCTTCTTCTAAATATTGTGTTATACTTTTCAGACTTCTTGGAATTTTTGAATATCTAGAGTTTTATAGTCTAGGATTTTTAAGAATTTTATTGCCTTGATGTTGTTTTAATCTAAATATCCATATTTCACATAATTTTAGAATTTCAAACTTGATACTAACTAAAATTGTAATTTCTGCATTAAGAAACATTATAAATTTAAAAAAATTGTTCGATTCATTAAAATTTCTTGTAGGAACTACGAAAAGTGGTATTTTTTTTACTCTGAAAATTTGTTTTGCCTTTTAAAAGTGCTTTTCTATAGACACATCGAAAAATCTTATCGATTTAGACAAAAAGTTATGAATATGACATATGTATGTTACATAAATGGGTTCAACTTTGTGTTCCCTTTCTTGTTTTCTGTTTCAGTGGGTTTTTTTCAAAGACCCATCTTGCGTGCAACTCGAATTCTTCGAGCTGCGTGAAATATTAACATTCTAATGTGGCATAGGACAATCACCCCGCCCACTCGGTGGGGCGTATAATCACCGATTTAGGTCGGCGGCATTTCGTCATAACGTCATTTGACAGACAGTTTCCATGAGAGCCAAGTATTAAGTATTAAGTTATTCGAGGACGTTCTGTTCTGCTCTGTGTTCTGTGTTTAGAACAACTTGGCAGGAAAACCGAGACAGTTGCGTGGCTGACTTTCCCTGCTTATTTATCCTCTTTATATTTTTCCTTTTATTTTTTTTTTGTTTTTTTTTTTTTGGCTGTTGTTAACCGAGGCGGCAGACGACGTCAATCGAAGTCAACTGCGAATGGGCGAGGGCGGTGTGGGAATTGACCCCCCAAGCGGGTCAAGGACAAACGTATCTTTAGCTCAGCTCAACGCCACAAATATCCGCTGTCAGCAGATAGTCACACCACAACAAAAAAAAAAAAAAAAAAAAAAAAACCACAAGACAAGAAAAACCCCCGACAAAAATTCCGATCGTCATAAGAGCGTGAAAAAGTAAAAATAAAAAGAAAACGGGATGGATGCCAAGGTGGTTCTTTGATAGTTTAGCAGCTAAAAACAAAAGTATAGTAATTTAAAATAATAATAATAAATTGAATCTCACTTTAAAAACCATATATAAAATCTATTATATTATATAATGATATATGAGTTATTTTTTAAAGGTGACCTGCCTAAAAGAGCATCTTTAAATTTACAAAAAAGAAACTATTTAAAATAAATTAAAAATATCATGTTGATTTAACCTCCTTAATTTGATAAACTTAGGATTAATGAATAAATATGGTAAAATTTTCCATGTAAGTAGACTTTTTTTCGGGGGCCCAACACTCACCTCGTTGATGTGCTTGTAGGTCTTTATCAGATCGACACTCAGCTTGCGCAAAGGTCCCGAGGAGGGATCCCGAAAGGTGGTGGGAATACGGGCCTGCATGGCGCGCACCTCCGACGAAGACGAGGGACTAGAGTGCTGTGGATGGAGAGGAAAATAGATAATATTTATTATAGTTACTATTACTTAATAAGGGTTGTTAAAGGCCAAAGGGTCGCCTGTCTTGTTACTTCTATACTTAAATTCTTTTTAACTCTTTAAACCTTCTCTAAGAATTCTTCTCTAGTTCTTCAAGTTCCCTAACACCACATTTAAAATGCAGTTTTAAATGCAGTTTATAATTAAAATAAAAATATAATGTTTTAATTGCCTTACTTGCTTAAGGTAAAACCAGTTGTAAAGCCACCTTTCTTTTACTTGTTCTTCTAAAGGTTATGCTTACTTCAATTTGGGCCATAACCTTTCTAATTGCAACTTTAAATTTAAGTGGAGCATGGGAAAACATTCTCTGAAATGATCTGAACTTTCTGGCATTTATTGTTTTACAACATTATACTTTCATATTGGTCATTGATCTTTTAAATGTTTAAGGAACTGTTCTTGAGTGATATATCTATTCTTCGGAATACTTATACATCTATCTAAGTTTTAAGATCTTTTTGATAATTTCAATATTAGTTTTAAAGACGGGTAACTTAGGGATATACTTGGTCCATGATATAGTACTCACATGGTGCATGACATCCCGGTGCGTGGGAGGCAGATCCTCTTCGACGACGAAGCGTCCGTAGAGGGGGGCGTGGCGCTGTCTTCCGCCCCCGCTCCCGCTGCCCTGAGCTGCGTCGACGGCGACGCTGCCCCCGCTGGACCCATAGGCGGATACTAGAAGAGCGAAAAAAAGGGTAGATATTATTATTATCGGATATCATCGGAGGGAATTATTATAAAAGGCTATCATCAATTTATAAATGTACATATATGTTAGTAGTTTCTTCTGCATTTCGGATTCTGTTTCGGTGGTGTTTCTCTTTTTGTGCTGGTTCATTGACCGACCAGATCGCTCGGACACCGTTCTTCTTCTGCTAAATGCACCTGTTTTCTCGCACACCTGACTACGTCAGATACGCCGAGAGTTGCCAAAACGATGATAAACTCAAAGGGAAGAGAGGCAAACAAATGCACGGAGGGAAAAAACAGAGACCATTCTCATTTCTAAGTGAATTTACTAAAGAATAATTAAGTATTCAATCATCTTTCTTCATTTAACTTGGATTATAACTCAAGTAAACCCAAGATCTTTAAACAAATAAATCTTAAAATGAAGAAATAAATTATTACAATACATTTGGTGATAAAAAAAAATTTATAAAGAACCAAATGCAAGTGAAAACCCCTTTTCACTGTGCAAAGTACAGAGACAGTCGGAAGAAGTGTCAGAAAGAAGCTCTACCTTAATTTTAGAACCAGACGGAACTGAACTGAAATTATTACACAATATGCAGGCGCGGATACATAATAATTCTGCCGTTTCTTGATTCTATTTCCCAAGTCTCCGTCGTCTCCTCTATGACCATACCATTTCACTTGCTCACTTTTTGTTTTTTGTGTGTTGTCTTCCTTTTTTTCTTGGCTTGTGCAACAAAAATAGCCCCAACGATATAAACAAGACACCACAAAAATAAAACGTAGAAGGGGGAGGGTTTGGGGTTTGTTAAGAGGAAAAACCCGCAAGAGGCAGCTGTGTTTAATGTTGAGCCCAAGCTAAAAGATATTCTATTACATCAACATTTCCCAAAAACAGGTGATGACAGAGAAACCCGATAAAAAGAAAAGCATTTCGTCAAAAATGAAGATTGATTGATCAAGGTAACAACAAAGCAACTTATCTTGCATAGGCTATAAAATATATATCATTTCATCAATCAATCATTCATCAAAACGTTGCAATTTAAAAGAAAGTAAATGACAAATAAATGTTGCATGTTATTTAAGAAAAATCCTATAAATATGAGTAAAAATTCAATTTTGAAAAGGTTATGATTGCTTGCCCTTAAAAAAATATTAGTTAATAATCTCTAATTTAATTAATTTAAACTAATTAAAGCTTTTGTATAGTTTAGAATCCAACAAATAATATAGATTCTTATCTAAAAAGGGTTGACACACCAAAAGAAAGTAATTTTTTTATGGTTGCATACTTTTTGAATACCCAATAAAGCTTTTAGACAGTTTAGAATCTAGATTTTTACCTAAACGGGTAGACACACAAGAGGAAAGTGATGGATAAATAATTTTTTGTTGCATACTTTTTGAATACCCCTCTTCCGTTCATTTTTTCCCCGATTTCTCCTGGCTCTTACTATCATAATGCTGTGGTCTTTCTGCTTCACTTCTCGCTGAAGATTTCTGGATCACCAACAGATTGCCATCGACTCGATCTACAGCCACATTCGCTGTGGTGTTCCAAGCACTTTTGGGCTGGAATTTTGAGATGATTTGATGGCCATCGCCATCGTCGTCCGCCTCCTGATTGCCATTTGTTGGCCAATTTCTGACACGATGCTGGCAGCCAATTTGCGCCAAATAATTGATGTAATGAGGCGGATGATGGTGATTGTGATGGTTGCTGCTGCCGTTGCTGTTGTTGCTGTGATGATGGTGGTTCAAACTGCTGGTGGTGGTGCTACTGAAGCTACTGAAACCAACGACACCAGGTGGTGCTGCTGCTGCTGGTGGTGGACCCATGACAAATGGCGCCCAATCCGCGGTGGTGGCCTTGTCAATCGCATCGCCGCCGTTCGTTGACTGCCAATAAACCAGAGCCGTCGACATATCCTTTCTTTGTCCTCCTTTATTCACTCGCACTTCCTTTTATATCTTATATATTTTATATATATATATATTTATTTAATTAATTCAAGATCCATTTGTTGACTGGCTTTCGAAGAGAAGTGTGCGCGCGATCTGCGTCGCGTGAAAATTCAGCACAAACTGCCACAGAGTTTTTTTCATTTCCCTGTCCCCAAAGTTGCCACTCGTCGTCGTTTTTGTCGTCTGTTTCTGTTTTATTTATACGGAACCGTGTTTTCTGTGTGTTTTTGCACTTTATTTTTTTTTTTGTTTTTTTTTTGCATTTCTGCGGATCACACGAACGAGCGAGCGATAGCGATTGCAACGATCATCACGATCTCGGGGTGATAATGATAATGAAGATGTTGTGTATATAAGGGGGATGCCCGACCGACGAGATCTGGCATCGGAATTAGTTCTGATTACACTACATAAATCCCCTTTTGAGTGAAATAAAACTAAATTCTCATTTCCAACACTATCAATTTCATATTTTGCATTCGTTTAGTGTTGTGAAAGCACCATTAAGTTAATCAGTGTTGGGCAAATGCTTTGTAGTTAGTTAATAAAAAATTACTAAATTCTTACTTCATTCCTTAAGTGTTGCAAAAGCACAATTGAGTTAAACAGTGTTGGACAAAAATGAAAAAAAATTGAATCAAGTGTGATTTACAAAGGATTTAAAATTATCATTGCAATTTAGAATTATTTATAAGTGATCAATAGAGTTACTTCCCAATTATTTGCTTTCTCAGGCGCTTTCCTATATCATTGTTGGTCAAAAGCGTGGCCTTTTGTTTTTTATCGCAGCCTTCTTTTTGCTTCGGGAGTGAAAGGGGGAGTTCCGCTTTTCGTAGATAATGGAATTTCAATAATGACATGTAGCGGAGTGAAGTGGTTGCGGGGAATGCGGGAACAGTGGGTGGTTTTGCGGGTGGGAAAGTGTCTCGTGCACGCAGAGATACAGATACAGATACAGATATATTCATTTCTTTGTTTCGGCTTTTGCGTCGTCGTCGTCGTCAAGTCAAGGAAATCAAAACAAAGCAAACGAAATGTGAAATTAAAATAAAATGTAATTAACCCCAGGCAAAAAGTGTGTGCATAATGCAGTGCGTTACAAAATTGTATAACTGGTTGAGAGCTGTCTTTTGAAAGAATGAGAGTTAAAAATAGGAAATAGTTTAGTTGGCTTGACAAAAATTAAACAAAAAATAAACAGTCTTTAAAGTTATGTAAAATATTGCCTAGACGTCATACTAAATTTTTGTTCTACCATTTCTCCGAACCAATTAGAAAATGATTTGCCTATATAAATAAATTGAACGCTTGCCAATCGATGGAAGAGTTGAATGATAAATGAGTTTGGTGCCCCTCTAAAATTCGACGGAGAGTGAACATAGCCCCTCTATTTATAGGGAGCCGAGATCCTCCGCTCCGTCTCTAATGTAGGATTTCCCCCCTATTTTTCGGATATATGTCTGTCGCGTCTCGGCCGAAAATAAAAATAGTTGACGACATTTTGCGTTCGTTTTCGTTCCCCTGGCTTTTGGCCACTTGCATTTTGGCCCAGGAATGGGATCGGGGGCATTATAAGGCAGGCGGCAACCTCCACCACCTCCATCGATAATTACACTTGGAAGGGGACCGATGACGATAACGATGGCATCCCGAGTCACCAGGTGAGTCACGACCCGTTGAAAAGGTAATGTGTAATGTCATGAATTGCAATTGCAGTTACACTTGACAAGTTTATAAACACAATGGCGCCAAGCTAATCGTAACCCTACGTATATTTGGCAAATAATGGGGAAGTCCCATACGGAATACAGAAGAGAGTCACAGTCACGGGTTTTCGAAATAGTACGGATGGTAGTTTGTAGATTGTAGATTGAGGCAAATACAGACGACGGAGGACAGGGACAGTTTGAGTGATAAGCAAACAGTTGACACAATATTTGCTGGATGAATGAAGTGACATTGTTGCATTTTTTCGGAAAAACCAGAATTAGCTAATAAAATATATTTCCACCTAATATTGACTAATTTATCAACCTATAAACAGAGTAAATAAAACACTATCGTTAAAGTTGTAAAATTGTGTTATTAATATAAATATTATTACCACAATTTTTCTTGGAAAGTCAAGACTATTATTTACACGATGGTAAGACTTCAATAATAACTCTATAAAATTATCGATAAATGCTCTAAAAATTTGAGAGTGGAAATACGGAAATTTTGTATATAAAAAAAAATTCTTTTTGGACAAAAAATCTTATTCTTTCCATAAATATTGACCTTGATTAGGTATTAAAATAGTATCGAAAATTTAAGGAACCTTTTTTAAGGTAAGAATTATTATATATTCGAAAGTTTTTGGTGCTTCGAGCGATCCGATCCGATCTTGTGTTTATACTAGTGGTGCATTGAATATTTAATTTCATATCATATGGTGGTTGGTACTCACGTTTCTGTTTATTCTTATCCATAACGCCGCCGCTATTCGTATCCTCTATTCTATACATGGGGCTGATGTTGTTGGTTTTGCGCTGATTAATGAATCGTTACTTGGGTTTGTTTACACCTACATATATTTTACTTTATATATACTTGACATGTATATACTTGTGTTTATATAAATATATATAATATATATATTGCGTTATTTGTTCATGCGATTTTGGATAGATTGAAATTGTATTTTTTATATTTCTTTACGTCTGATTTTGGTTGCTTGTGATTTCGTTTTTGTTTTCTATAAATTAAATAGTTTTTTTGCTTTGTGTATTTTGCGTTATTTTCGTTATCCTTTTTGTCGTTGTTGTTGCATTTTACTTATTATTTCGTGTGTACCAGTTAATATATATATATGTATGTGGTATTGGTTAATATATATATTTTCGTATATATTTTTATGGGTCGAATACTTTTTGTTGTTTGTTTTGTTTAAAATTATGAACACAAGTTTCAAGTCTTTTGTTGAATTTGCTTAACCGTTTCTTTCGCGTTTGTTATTTAGTTTATTATTATTTTTTGCAGTGTAAAATGTCAAACATTTATGAAACAAACAAAACAAAAACACGTTTCTCCTCTCTTCTTGTTGTTGTTGTTATTGCTCTTTCCGTTTATTTACCGTTTAGCATTGCAATTACACACACCCCCACACAACGGGAGCGTGTGTGTGTGCTCTAATGAAAACAAAACACACACACACACGCGCGAACGCACACGCACACAGACGCACGAGGGAAATCTGAGAAGAGAAGAAAGCAAAATTATTTCTTTTTGCGATCTGGCTTTCTTCTGTTTCCTCTGCGCTTTTTGGTGGATTTTTTTTTATTTTACTTTATCGATTCGCTTCCTATTTACCTTATCGATTTTATCAAGTTAATGTAGTTTTGGTTTTATGGTAATTTTTGGCTACCGCTATTATCAACATTTTGCTTAAACATTTTCATTTTCTCAGCACTTCTTTTTTTTGTTTTTGTTTTCCTTTACATTTACATTTGATATTAATTGTCGCCACGCTTTGTTTACAAAACTGTACTGCTGCTGTTGTGGTTTTTTGCTGGAATGAAAGGGAGAAGACGTTTGTTTAGTAAACTAATTGAATTATAATTATTTATGGATAAATATATTTGTACAGATTTATGGGGGGAGAGCCGGAAATGGTTTGAAGCGTACGGCGCAAATAAAAATAATAAATAATAACAATCACGAGCTCTCTCGCTCTCTGCCGCTGTTAACTTTCTGTTAACAGATGCTCGCTCTTCTGGTCGCTCTCCGCTCTCTCGCCATCTCTCTTTGGCAGGTGAACGAACGACACGCGACGCAAAAAGCATGCGTCTGTGTGCGAGCGAGAGAGCGCGCAAGTTCAACGTGTGGCTTGGTTTTTTTTTTCTGCCGGGGCGCCGCCTCTAATACATACACACACTCGCCCACCTCTGACATTGCACTCACACACATTCGCACACCGAGTGACAGCTGTTTCAAGTTCGATTTCGATTTCGATTACTCTTTTTCGACTCTGTTGTCAAGGCGAAAAATTTGGTGTGCATTTTAATTACAAATGTTGATTAACCCCACAAAACAACGCACAAAATATGTACATATGTGTACATACGTGAGCAAATATTTTAATTAGCTAAACAAAACACACAGCACATTGTTGTTGTTGTTGCGGTGAAAGTGGCGTTTATTAGCGTTTAGAGGTGCGCTGCTTGCTTTCATGTTTTTTGTTGTTGTTGTTGTTGTTGTTGTTGCTTTTCTGCGGCACATGTCGGCATTTCGCGATTTTGTTGCCAAGCAGCAAATGGAATTGACCAGCAGACGACGACCAGGGTTGCCACCCCTCCTTCCATTTTTGGCTCTGCCTCTCGGTGGAAAAAAGGGGGAAAGTGTAGAACACAAAAAAAAAAGGTACAAGGGTTCGAAAAAAAAAATTGGTCTTAGAAACCTATTTGAGGAATAACAAACAGAACAACTTTTATTTATTTCTCCTAAAACCTTGACTAACTTAATAGGATCTATTAAATGGGTTTTTACTAGACCACAGAAACTGTCTTTTACTTTTGTTAAGAACAAGTTTTTCATCACCCACTGTACTACACGGCAAAGTCAACCACCATCTGTTTGTGTGTTTCTTTCTGCAGAAAATTATTCACACATTTTACCGGCAAAACAGAAGGAAACCAGTTCCTAAATCAACAGAAAAAAAGTGAAGAAAGAAAACTGCAACCTGTGAATGATTCTCGTCCCGTGAATCAGAATCAGAAGTGTATAAAAAAGCAGCAAATGCGAATGCGTCACTCCTGCCTGCACTTTGTGACTAATAAATATAAGTAATTCCCGATCCCGATCCCGATTCAATACCCAGTGCGCGGATCTTTGCAGATCATGCGGTTAACGAGTGTTAACTCGTTGTTGTCAACTGATCAACTCAACCATCGACCGCTTATCAGTATTTTCACACTTTTCTGCAATGTCCGGGGATCGTTGTTTATATTATTATTATTTTTTTGTGCTCTTTTTTTGCATTTATTTTTAGCGCAGGCGGCAGCAGCCACAGTTTTTTGCATGTTTCATCATTTATTTTTGGGCCAACACGAAATCGGCGAAAAGCAACAAAAAAAATAGCTGCAACAACGACACATACCCACGCACTCCCACACAAAAAAAAAAAAACAAACAAAAAAATAAAACACTGAAAGAAAGGCAGGTGATTGATTTCCTTTTCGGAGCAGCTGGCAACCCTGTTCGGCGGGTGGGTGGTCCACAAATATCTCCCAGATCGGATCTCAAACGACTCCCCCAACTCTGAGAAAAATACTAAAAATTCCACATAAAGATTCCTACGAGTACAGTGATCATTGGCTAAATTTAACAGGAATAATCTTGAAGTAATGCTTACATTTTCCTGGATTATCCTGGATATCCTGTATTTTTAATTAAATTTTAGGTATTATAATCAAAACAATTTTTTAAAATGTATCGAGTTAAAATCATTTCAAATTAAAGCCTTGGCTTTTCTGTAACGAGAGTCCTCTGTAACTGAATCGATATCTGAATTACAGGCTAACCAACTATATTTAAGACCAACTTAGCGGGTTACTACTGTATCGGGGGCATAAAAAAATAAAACTTTATGATCAGCGGCGGCCGTTTGACGTCAGAATCGGTTTGTCTGTCTGTCAGATTGTGGCTATATACGTGTAGTGAGTATGTATATGTATATACTTTTGCTCGTGCTCTCTTTCTTCTTTCTCTTGCCCCTTTCTCCGCCACACACCCCCCTCCACCCACCACCCACTGCAGAAAAAGAAGACGACGGAGCACGTCATGTGGTGACCCAAATCGTTCGTGTGACTTTTTCCATTTGCGCTCGTTTTGTTTAATTCAATTTGCGTGCACATTAAATGCTGTTACTAAACTAATAAATTAAATAAATCATATTTGTGCAACACTCTCGTCTCCATTTCATTTGTTCTTTATTATTTTTTTATGCGCAACATGTGGCGACGCCCGAAAAAAAAAGAAGAAATAACAACAAAAAGAGTTTGTTGTTAGGTACTCACACTAATTTGCCCCAGTGTATATGTATGTACATTTATTTGGCTATGTGCGTGCTCCAGATTTTCTAGGTGTCTACTAAAAATACCTTGTAGGCGTTTTCCGCTTCTTCTGTATTCGTATTCATTAGTATCGCTGATTAGCCCAAAAACAAAAACTAACTGAACGAACTTTTTGGCCAGTGAAGAGGCAAGAAAATAATACGGAACAACTTCGATAAATTGAACTATAACCTAAAACTAGACTATGAATTATAATATATTAAGTATGAAGTAGATACAAAAAAACATAACTCAAATATTATGAAAAAAAAGAATTAAAATGGAATAAAAGTGTAAACTATTTTTCTAAATTATTTTTGAAACCATTTAAAGAAGTATGACTGTTAAAAAAAAAGCGACAACAAAACGCTTTTTGCGCTTTTGAAAGCACTTTTTCAATGGAAGATTGTGAAAAAAGCGAAGAATTTATGCTTTCTTTCTCTGCACTCTTCTGCTATCTCCGTCCCGCTCACACCCTCGGCTGGCTGGCTAAGTTTATTATATTTATTTCTGCCGTTGTTGTTGCTCGTTTTTTTTTTGTTCTTAACTCGGCTTGGTTCAAAGTTCAATGACCGATTTTGCCTTTGCCGAAAACTGAAGCGAAATGAACTGAAATAAAATAATGAAGTCAACTGAAGTGAGCGGCGCAGTCGCAGAGCTTTGTTGCCATCTCGCTCCCACAAAGACACACACACACAGAGGCACATGGCCACACACAAGGTCAGTTAATAAAGTTGATTTTTGCTCAATACGCAATAGCGCAAAAATGTGCAAATAAAAAATATAAACACTAACAAGTGGCAAGCAGAAATACAAAAGAACAAGGCGGCAATTAAAAAAGAGCCTTTCATGTTCGTAAATTAAAGTTATTTTCAGTGAAGGTTGGGGATCTATAATTTTTTACAGGTACCATTAAAGATTAAAATCTTAGATGGTAATAATACCAAAAACTATAAAATATTTTTTTCTTAATTACAGAATCGAATGTTTATTTCCAGTTCAGAAAGAATTAACTTTATAATCCATTAAACAATTTACGTTTAATATTAATAGATAATATTAAGAATAAAAGGGAACTAGAATTTAATTTATAATCTTAACAGATTGTACTGATATCATGATCATAGTAGAATACTTTTATTAACAACATAATACATATAGTTCTAGTTTGCTTTTGCGCCACTTGCACTTTCTCGTTTACCTCTTGGCCATCACCTATCACTCTTAATTTCCCCCAGTGTAGCCTGTGTGTTGTGTATGGTAATTCAAAACTGCGCATTCATTGATGACGGATGACGTCGCAGCTTTGACAGTGGCATTGAAAATTTCAATTTCGCAAGCAGACTGCAGGCAACAACAAAAACAAAATAATAAATACGGAAAGAACAAGAATACGAAGAAGCTACAATTACTATGTATATAGTAAATAACAAAGAAAAGGACAAGCAGCCGGAATAAATTTTAATTAAATACGTATTATTGTAAACTATTTCATGGCTTTTTTCGAAAAACAATCAAATAGTAGTTAAAGCGTTAAGATCAAAAGTAAAAAGTCATTAAAACTATACTATAACATGAAATAGAAGACTACCTTAACCTTAGAAAGCTATTTAATAGACATAAATAACAAATAGCGTATATTTCTCGACTTTCAAAAATATCATACACATAAATTTCTCAAAAATCAAAAAGACCATAAACATTTTCTTGGAATTGTCAGCTAAGAGGTGAATTCATCTTTCTTGGAAAGCTTAAAAAAGAACTTTTTTTTGCCAAATAAACAAATATTTTGGATGTTTTTGAAAATATATATTTATTAATTTTAAAACGATTTAGGATATAAAGAAATAAACAGAGATTTTTCTCTAATATTTACTGGAAATAATGATGCTATTTTCGCAAGGCGTTTAGGTTTTTCCCACACTGTTTTCTGTATTTACTATTTGTTTTGCTGCACTGATTAGAGAGCGAAATAATAATAATACCTAATAATAACCAAAACAAATGGCAGCACGTGTATGGCATCTGGTTTGTTGTGATTCAGTGACAATGGTGATGGTGTACCCACCCACTTTCTCCTTCTGTTCTCGCCACACGTGTTAAACAGTTAGTTAGTTAGCTAGTTAGTTACTTAGCTAGTTAGTTACTGCGTCAGCGTCGCAATTGCGCCTCAATTGGGGGACTAATGAAATATTCCTGATACGCATTTAACCCGCGACGAGAGAGAAGGGCGGAGAAAGGTGGAGAAAGGTGTGAAAGCTACCAACTAAGGTGTTAATTACCCATCGCTATGACAGCCTTTAATCCTGCAGGGAAAATGGAGAAAGTGGGGAGCGTGGTGGGCGGTGGGAGGCGAGGAAATATGACCAACCTCTTCCTCGCTCTTTCACTCAATTAAAAAATCGTTAAAGGGAAACCAAGCGCTTAAAGTGCGATGATTTTAACACATAGCAACTGTACAAACGATGTCATACCTTTCTGATCTCGTTAATAAATTTCCAATCGATTGGCACTCAACCTGGCCAAGTTACATAAAAAAACAAACAGAAAAAATTCAAATTTTTACCAAAAACCCAGATTCCAACTTTTCACAAAAAAATTATTCGTTTTTTGACCTTAAAAATTGAAGTATTTATCCAAATACGGATTGTCATACCTTTCTGAACTCGTTATTAAATTTCGAATTGATTGGCATTTAAACTTGGACATTTTATTTTTTTGCCATATTTTGTAAAAAATCATGATGTACCCCCTTATAAAAAAATTGAAAATTGGCGAAAATTTTATCTTTTCAGGATCAACCGGAAAGTGTCATGGAATTATTTATTATTTTGTTATCTGTGCAGAACAGTAAGCATTTTTGGTGTAGGACCATTTTTGGCGAAGTTACAGCAAAAAAACCAACAGAAAAAAATCAAATTTTGGACAAAAATTCAGATTCCAATTTTTCACAAAAAAAATAATTCGTTTTTTGACCGTAACAATGGAAATAATGGTCCAAATATGGATTGTCATACCTTTCTGAACTCGTTATTAAATTTCAATTTCGATGGCTATTAAACCTGGACATTTTATATTTTTGCCATTTTTCGTAAAAAATCATGATGTACCCCCTTATAAAAAAATTGAAAATTGGCGAAAATTTTATCTTTTTAGGATCAACCGGAAAGTGTCATGAAATTATTTATTATTTTGTTACCTGTTCAGAACAGTAAGCATTTTTGGTGTAGGAACATTTTTGGCGAAGTTACAGCAAAAAAACCAACAGAAAAAATTCAAATTTTGGACAAAAATTCAGATTCCAATTTTTCACAAAAAAAATAATTCGTTTTTTGACCGTAACAATGGAAATAATGGTCCAAATATGGATTGTCATACCTTTCTGAACTCGTTATTAAATTTCGAATCGATTGGCATTTAAACTTGGACATTTTATTTTTTTGCCATTTTTTGTAAAAAAGCATGATGTACCCCCTTATAAAAAAATTTAAAATTGGCGAAAATTTTATTTTTCCGAGATCACGCGGAAAGTGTCATGGATTTATTTATTATTTAGTTATCTGTTCAGAACAGTAAGCATTTTTGGTGTAGGACCATTTTTGGCCAAGTTACAGCAAAAAAACAAACAGAAAAAATTCAAATTTTTACCAAAAACCTTTTAAGGAATTCTTACTGAAGATTACCATCATAATTATCATAAAATTTAATACCAAAACTAAATATATTGTATTTCCAAAACGAATTGATCATAGATTATAGGTTAATAATGTCTCTCCAATTTGGTACCCAAAATAAGGAAAATTTATAAAAATCCTCAACAATAATTCATAGTAAAGTATTATACTTTCTGAGCTATGTAGTACTTTTCATAGCCTAACCAGGCAGCAACCCCAATCAGATCCCTCAAATTCCGAATCGAAAATGAATATATTTCTACCGTATACCATTATACTGCTGCTGATGATCCTCCTCCGCATAACGATTGCCCGTTCGATGAGCTTTGATTTGCCCTTCTATGGTTACGACTCGTACCTGGACACCTATTTGGACAACACCAGCGATGATATATCCTCCTCCGATGAGGTCAATTGCGATCGGGATGGCAATGCACCGCCGGCTACAGTGGAGCCCTCTCCTTACCTCGGCTACCAACCACCAACCCATTCGCCGCCTTACCAGTCAAATAATTCTCCCTCCTCCTCATGTAGGGATCGGGATAACTGCGATTCTAGTTCTAGCGATAGCGAGTCGAGCAAATCACGGCTAAAGGCCACCCACATTGCCCAGAATGCCGCCCAGGTGGCCAAGGCCGCCAATGAGGCACAGGCGGCGGCCGCCCAGGATGCCTCGCGTCAGGTGAAGATGCAATTGGCCGACAAGGCCATCTCGGCCGCCCGACAAGCCGATGCCGTTTTGGAGGGTAAGAAATCCATTGTCGAGAATTTCGCACGGGAAGTTCGGGACGCCGAGGCGGTTGTGGAGCAGGTGAGCACTTCCCTGGAGTGCAGTGAGTCGAATGTGGAAGCAGCCTGTGCGGCTGCCAAAACTGCGGAGGCCCAAGTCCTCACATTCAGGTAAATCAACTGTTTTCATCGAAAAAGTATCGAAAGGGTGTCATTAAAGGCAGTTATCGAACTGATACATATTTACTAAAAGTTATTTTGTTCTAAACATGTAGGGATGTTTTTATTTAAATATAATTATCGAAATTATGAATTACTTTGTATCGATAAAATGTGATCATTCAATATTTACTGAAATTTATTAGGTTTAAAATGTGTAGAAAAGCGTTGTATCGTTATGATTATATCTAACTGTACTTAAAGATATAATCATAACGATATTTCAACCTTAATATTTTTTTAAACATTAATCGTTAATCGATATATTTATTTAAAATTGTTTTCATATATCAAGACGTAATTACTTTACAAATTTTACTTTAGATAACAAAATAGGGATCAGTGTTTAAATATTAATGTTTATATAGGTTAAAAAATGTTCGATAACCTTTTCGATAACACATTTTTTTGATATCCCCCGTTTTAGAGCCCTGGTGGAGCAGACGAGGGCCATCATGACGGATGCAGATGGCCTGATCGAAAAGTCCAACGCAGATCTGGAGGAGAAGAACCAAATGTTGATGGCCGCCAAGGCGCGTGGTGATCGATTGGCCCGCCAGGTGGCGCAAGCCAAGTCGGAATACGAGCAGGTGAAGGAGGCGGCCTGTCGAGCGGCCTCAGCTGCCGTGGAGGCCAAGCAAAAGGTGACGGCTCCCAGCCAAATTCTGCCCCTGAGTGGAGGAAGTGGAGGTGGAGTCTGTCTGCCGCCCCCCACCACCCACAAGACGGGGGGGTGTGGCTATGGCCCCGATAGTAGCACCTGCCAAGCACTCCTCGAACTCTACAGGCAGCGACGCCGGCAACAACAGCGCTTGCGGCGAGAGAAGCTCCGGAATCGGGCGATTCGGGGTCAAGGAGAAGGTCAGTCGTCCATGTTCGAGGATCACGATCCCTCCTCCTTCGATCTGATGCACTCTATCTATTAATTGGGATCACCGATGGGACATTCTATTTTTATAATCAATCTCTATTTATCATAAGGTTTTTGGGATTTATTGACTAAATATAAACCGATCTATATTTCTAGAAAATATAATAGAATAATAATATAATAATATTTTCTATAAGGGTTCAAGATTCATGTTTAAAATGTAATACTTTATGTATTCTGGTTTCTATATTCCCCAGAACGAATCCTCCTTTCTTATATTTTTTACGATATATTTTGAGGATCGTTGCTGAATCACTTCTCCCATCAATGCACTTGACTAAACTGTGTGTTATAAAGGGGTTCCAAAGTTTACGTTCTATTTTTATAGTGGCTGCAGATTACATTTTCTATTTTCACCAAAGCTATAGATTAGGAGATCTATTTTTAAAATGGTTTTAGATAATACTACCAAGTTTGCACTGCAATTTAAGGTTTTCACAATGGTTTTTGTTAAATTTACAGTGAATTATTATAGTTATTAGCGAGTGGCCACTGAAGTTGGGTAGAATATGCAATTGTTTACCAACAAATTCGCTTTGCAGTGCCGTAATTCTTGTGAAATAAGGAAAAACAATGGAACAATGTTGTTGTTGTTGTTGTTGGGCGAATGGAAAATGGGAAAAGGAAAATGGGTGCAAGGCCAGAAAGCAACGAAGCACGATCGCAAAGAGGAGAAGGAGAAAGAGAGAGCTAGTGGAAAAACCATCTTTTTCCAGCCAAAAACCGAGATGAAAAAAAAACAGCTGTTTGGGTTTTTCCCCGTTTTCTTTTGTATTTGATTTTCGTGAAAACAGTGGGCGGTTGGGTGTTTAAAGTGCAGCGGCAGCAGGGTTGCCACCTTTTGCGGAGCTGTTGCGTCGTTGTTGTTTTTATTGCTATTTTGGCGTCGGTTCTTGAAACTCGAAACGGCAGAGAGACAGAGAGAGAGAGAGAGAGAGGGCGCGCGCATTTTGTATCAAGCGAGAGAGAGAGAGCGAGAGAGCCAATTCATCGAATAAGAATAAATTGAATTATAATTTTAAAATCGTCAATTAACACTTCAAGCATATTTAATTAAGCAATTACAAAAACGACAAAAGGCAGCCGTGTTAATGGGTTTCTTGTAAATTCTATGGCGAAACTTTTGACTAAGTCTAAATGGATTTCTCAGTGGTTTTTTGCCCTTAACAGAGCATTTTCCCGAGAAATTCAATTAAAACGTGACGATAAATAATGGATATATTTGTACTTTTTGTTTTATCAACTGGGTTGGGTATCTCAAATGTCCTTTCAAGGCACAAAATTTACAATCCACCATTACTCAATATAAATAATATTTAATAGAAAACATAAAGCGAGTCCAATTGGACTTTAAAATGCCGGCAAGTCCAATTGGCTTGCCTTCGGGCGCTTAACAGCAACACTGTTAACAGTTAACAGCACGCTGTATAATGTTGGACGCTGAATTCGGCTCTCTCCTCTCCTCACCGCTCCACTCCTCTCTTTTTTCAACCTAACCAAACAGAAAAACTGGAGGCTTACTTTTTTTTTTTGTTGATGATCGCCGTTGTTTTTCCTTTTCGGCTATTTTATTTCCAGGCTTTTGGCTTTTTAAACGCGTTGCGCTGCAGTTATTCCACACATGTTTGTAGTTGTTGTTGGTGGTTGCAGCTGCCGCCGCTGCTGCTGCTGTTGTTGTTGTTAGTGGTAAGAGAGGGACGTCGATATGTGACGCGCACACACACAAACACACACACAGGCACACGCAGCAAAGAGAGAGAGAGGCAAACAAAAAAGATTTTTTTTCGTTACTCGTTGTTGTTGTTGCTGCTGCCGCCGCTGCCCCTTTTTCTATGTTTCCATTTCGTAGCGCCTTTAATTAACAAACTTTTCACAACATTTTCAATTTCCCTTCGTTTTTCGCAGCTCTCTCCACGGTTTTTCTGCCTTTCCGCCCGTCTGCCACAAAAAGAGCGCGTCGTCCGCAGTGTACAAAAAAAAGGCACACACCAAAAGAGGAAAAAAAAACACACACTCACACTCACGCACGCACACGCATACCCAGACACGGGCGAATCGGGGACCGAAATGCTAAATAAAAAGCGTTTCGTTTTCGCTTTCGCCGTTCGCGTGCTCTCCGTTTTTCCGCTTTTCCGATTTTCCAGCGGCCCGGACTCTATTTATTTATTTATTTAGCACGCCGCCTGTGTTTCGCGCTGCATTTTCCTCGGCCAGCAATTCGTTTCTGGGGATGAGGACTTTTGCCCCGTCTCTAGCGCCGCAGAAATCGGATGGCAACTCTTTCGATGCATCGATGTTTTTCTCCCACAATCGATGTTTTTGTCCCATCACCAGAACGACGTAAGCAAACGTAAGTGTCATTAACTCAGAGAGGAGAGAGGATTTAGTAACACGCCATCTACAACAGCTCCAATGGATCGGAACATGGCTAAGCGGTGACTGCAACCGGCATGTCCATGAATTTGCTTTTCCGTAAAAGAAAAAAAATATGTATTGCAACGGAATTTAAAAAAAAAAACGAGGACGGAAGCTAATTTCGCCAAAAATTTGGAAACATCTTCAAACCATCGAAAACATCGATGTCTGCGAACCTGTACTTTTCGTGAAATGAAGACTGTGCAGTGTTGCCAGAAACTTCCAGTGAAACTTTACGTATTTCGTTACGTTTTTATTGCACTTTACGTATTTATTTACTCGGCTGATCTGAGTACTAGGCTTTAGATTGCAAAAATCTATGTAATTTATTTTATTAGAAAATAAAATAATGAATAAAATAATAATGAAAATAATAAATTTGGCATTTTGCGGTATTTAATGCTGGAAAAAAGTCAGTATTTTTATATTTTAGTACTGACACGTCAATGGTCTTACTGCGGAGCGTGTCCTCGCTTAGCCGCGTCACCCACCTTGAACACAATAAGGCGCCAAATTTAAATTCAAAGAAATCTATTTTGGGAAAATGTACTTTCAAATGGAAATATAACTACTAACTATTTATTTATAAAACTAGAAATCTTTAAGTATTAAGAATTTTTGCAGTACAAGAACAAATATACTCACGACTCGAAACCGGTTTAGTTAGAAAATATAAATCCAGTTATCTTTAGTACCGAAGAAGTTGTAAAATTGTGACCCGATTATTCAAATGAGGATCGTAAAAGGGTCGTTTCGATGCGTGCTTATATGGACGATTAAATGTTTTTAATTTTAATGCCTTTTTGAGGCGCTTACTTATAAGAATCAAAATCAAATTTAACGAAATTCAGTTTACTTTTCGGTTGCAGTTGCCACAGTTCGCCAATTTCAGCGAAATGAGAGCGCCATTGATTGCCTTCTTTCTGTTGATTTTGATATCCTGGGTATCCTCAAATGAAATCTTCAAACCTCGTCAAAATGTTGAAAATCCCTGCAGTGAACATCGAATTTGGCGGCCCATTCTCGATCGATTCGTAAAGGTTAATGCCAGCGAGGAGCTGAAAAGCCAAGTGAATGCTATGGCAGAGACCATCAAGGATTTGCAGAGTCAGATAGTGGAAAAAACCCAGGAAATCAAGGATCAAAGTGCCAGAGTTCGAGTTTTGACGGCAAATATAAAACACTTGCGGGCCGAAGTGAAAAACAAAGATAAACAGATCACAGAAATAAACGGCGATCTCTTGAAGTGCAGTCCCAAAAATCCCCAACTTAATAGTTCAACCGGTTGGTTAACTATTCAAAAACGTTTTGACGGAACCGAGAATTTCGATCGATCCTGGCGGGATTACAAAGACGGTTTCGGCAATCCAAAAGGAGAATTTTTCATCGGGCTGGAGAAAATTCACCTCATGACTCGTGAACGACCACACGAACTGTATATAAATCTGGGCAAGATTGATGGTTCCACGGGATACGCTCATTACGACGACTTTAGGATCGGAAGTGAGCAGGAATCGTTTGAGCTGCAATCGCTGGGCCTCTACGAAGGCACCGCTGGCGATTCGCTGAGACTCCATGAGCACCAGAAGTTCACCACACTCGACAGGGATAATGATTCCTATCGTCTGAATTGCGCTGCCGACGAGTACGGTGGCTGGTGGTACTACAACTGCGCCCAGAGGTAAGCGAACTACTTAACTAGCACTTAACTACTCCTTAACTAGCACTTAACTACTACTTAATTATTTTAATCCAACGAATTTCAAAATACAGCAGGCTTTACTTTCTACCACTTAACTACTACTTAACTTTTACTTAACTTTTACTTAACTTTTACTTAACTTTTACTTAACTACTACTTAACCCTTTTAATCCAACTATTTTCAAATTACAGCATGCTCAATGGAAAGTTTTACAAAGAGGGACACTCTAGGGATAATAAAACGAATGGAATTTTATGGGGTTCCTGGCACAACAACGATTGGACCCAATCGCTTACTTTTGTGGAAATGATGATAAGGCCTAAAACATTGTAAACTAATGTTGTGTAATAAAATATATCATAAAAGAATCTTTGAATTTACTATACAAAAATTTTATTGTTTTTAACTTTCTCTAGTTTATGAAATAAGTTCCTAATAACATTTTTGGTTGGCTCTGCAAAAAAAATTAAATCAAAAAGTTACTTATTTCTTGACTTAGCATTGCGCTGCTAGAAAAAAATATTAAATTTACATTGTTAAACTAAATATTATTCCGAATTTTGAAATAAAAAAATCAAATATAAATCTATATTTTTGTACAGTGTACACAGACATGTAAGTGCGGTATTTTTGTGGTATTTTCTGGGTTACCATATTTTACCCAAGTGAAACCTTGTGATATCGAAGTACGATAGGCCCGATATCGATAGCAGTCTTGTTTTTGTACAAAATATTTTATTTTATTTTCGATTCGATTCGTTTTTTGGGTTTTTGGCCGATTTCTAAATTGAGAACGCAGCGCAAAGCGATTCGGTGTCCAAATTGCCAGTGCATCGAGCCAAAAGAGAGGAGTGTCAGCCAGGGAAACCAGGGAAATCAGGGAAACCAAGGCAACCAGCGCGGAAAGCCACAACAATCGGTGGCGAAATCGGGAGATAGCAGCTATATTCCAATTCCAGCACTCCAGTGGTGAGTAGTGCTCAGTGCCCAGCGAGCAGTTCCGGCGAGCAGACCCGTGAGATAAAGCAGCGCATCGAATAGGTCGCAATTACTTAGTGTTTCCCTTTTCCAGACGCAGCTGATCCGAAGATCCCAGATCCCAGACCCCCGAATCCCGCCCAGAGCCACCCTAATCATGTCCAGCGACGCCACCACGCCAGTGCTGCGCAACTGCATCCGGCTGCCGCTGCCGGAGGACGAGCTGCTGGAGGTGACGGCGAAGGCCAAGGACTATGCCATCATGCACGGCGCCGCCATGCGATCGAAGACCGCCTTCAGCCAGGACTCGCTCAATGTGGGTGCTACAGTCGAGCCTCGCTAGCTGTCGATCTCTTTATATTTTGCATTATCAAATTAAGTTAGTTTTTCATTTATTTGCATTTTTTTAAGGTTTTTATTTTCACATCTCAGTTGATTTTTTTCATTTTTTTTATAAGCTGTCAAGGATTTAGTCCATTATCAAATTTAAATAATTTTGCATTTATTTGGATTTTTTTTAGATTTTTCTTTTGACATCTCAGTTGTTTTTTTCTATTTCTGATAATGATTTATTATTCTATATCGCATCTTTGTAAATGTTTTAATTCCAGTATTTTATTTATTTGCTTGCAATATTTTTAGATTTTTCTTTTCATATCTCAATTGTTTTTTTTCATTTTTTTGATAAGCTGTTCAGTTTTTATTATTCTATATCGCAAATAGGGTATATGTTTTTATTTCAATATAAAATTTAGCTAGTTTTTCATTTATTCGAATTTTGTAATATATTTTTTTTATTCAGTTTTAGCTATTATACATAAATTGCATTTAAAATTTAATAACTGGTATTTAGGGAAAGACGTAACTAGTCGACAATTGATAAAACCTTTTATTTATATTCATGATTTAACATTTTATGAGTAATAGGCGTGTTTATATTTTATGTTTACTTTTACATTTGCGTAAGAAAGATAATATTAGATTGGGATTGAAAATTAAGGATGATGAAATCTTGCATTTCCAGATCTGTGGTATTTTATTTGTAGTGCCTCAAGTGATTTAAAGTAGTTTTAAAAAGAGCAAAGCTGTGGGTAGATATTTAAGTATACATTTTTGTAGGTATTTACAAACCATAGTAACTACATTTTAAGTTGTATATTTTATTACCCAATTTGTTGGCCCATTTGCCAGCCCATTTGTAAGGGAAATAGCTTCTGAAAAAGGTTGTTAATCAATTAGATTTAGGGTACTCTAAATTTAGAACTTGATTGATCGAGATTCAGGCTAGAGTGGTTCGACTGCAGTTAACGACTGCAGTTACTAAATCAAATTCTTTTGCAGTTTGCCCCCTTTGTCCTGGTGCCCTCCTCGTTTCCGCGCAAGGAGTTCGAAAAGGCGGTGGCCCTGCAGCCGATAATCAACCGGCTGATGCACAACGTGGCCCACGACGAGGAGTTCATCACGACGACGCTGGCGGAGACGATCAAGGTGGACGAGTTCACGGCCAATCTGTTCAACATCTACCGCAAGGTGCTGGCGCACGGGTTCACCCAGGTGAGATTCCGTCAGCCGATCACCGATCACCGATCTCCAAACCTCCAAACCTCCGCCCTGCAAATCACCCATCTCATATTCAACCCATCGGGAGCACATCTACAGGCAGCCAGTGGGTTTCTCGCTAGAATTTATTGGGCCCCTCCACCCGCGGTCGCAATCTAATCGCAGCCCCTCCATAAATCGCCCGGCCATAGTCATAGCCAAAGGAACTCGGTGTAGTCGCTAATCTCGCGTGATTTATGCGAGCATCCTGGTCGCGCAGCTCCTTATCGTTTAGCCCATTTAGCCGCTTGTAAATCGACATAGGACAGCCCATCCCACTGAACGCTAGCCCTTTGCCACACTGCTATCCCCTATTATTTTTGATTTACTTTAATTTCCCCTAACGAAAGCAGCACAGAGACGAGTTTCATGAACTTTGTGAAGTCGAAAAGAACTTATTATTTGCATATCACACTTTTGTTTATATCGGAAAGTCTTATAAATGATAATTTCTGATTTATTATTAATCTTTAAAGCGAATTCTTTTTAATAGAAGATGATAAAAGCTAGAATAATAATATAAAATATTAAAAACGCCTTATTTACAAATATTTTCAATGTAAATCCTATTATAATGCTAATCTTAAAAGCGAATTCTTTTTGATAGATGATAGTAAAAGCTAGGATAATAATATAAAATATTAAAATCAGCTTATTTACAAAGATTTTTAATGTAAATGTTATTATGATATTTTTTTTTGAGATTTAAAACCAATCTTTAAAGCGAATTCTTCTCAATAGGAGATGGTAAATAATATAAAATATTAAAATCACCTTATTTATACAGATTTGTAAGGTTAATCCTTCTATGATATTTTTTAAAAATTTTTTTTAATTTATAAATTAAGCTCAATTGCAAATGTAGTTTCCTGTGCAAAGTTGACTTCACAATTTGTGCTTTTCTCGTCACCCAAAAACCACAATTCCTTCGAAAATGAAACCCTAACCACGCAATTGTACAAACTCTCGATCTCAACCACAATCTGTTGCTCCATTATCCGTCACTCATTGCATCGCTATGCTACGAAAAATCAAATCAAATCGAATCGAAGAGAATATCGCTGGGGATGCTGCGCAGTGATCTGATGCTGGAGTCCGGCTGTCCGGAGTTGTCGCCACGGGCGCTGGAGGATCGGAAGGATGGCGGCCAGGATGCTGCTGCTGTGGGTAAAGGAGCCGGAACTGCTGCTGCTGCTGGCACGGGCAGAAAGGAAAAGGAGGAGCAAAAGGAAGAGGAGGAGCAGAAGGAGCACAGGGAGACCCAGCTGAGCCGGGCCACCAAAGAGCGGGAACGACGGGCGACGAGCACTCAGTCCGCTTACTGCTGCTGGAAACAAGTCGAGATCAATACGATAGCTTCGGGCTTTGGCCATTTGGGACCAGCAAGTAAAACCATACAAAGGTGATGTCAGTTCACCCAGTCAAATCATCAAATGCAACCACCATCATCAGCAACACTCCTTGAAAACCCAGTCCCCCAATGACCCAATGATCATCCCATCGCATATCTGCATTCCAGCATCGCTTGCATCCTCCGCCTAACCACACAAAATCAACACACTAACACTAGAAACCAGAAATCGAAAGCTAAAGCTATATAGTTTGTGCCTAGATCATTCGGTACTATATTATATTCAATTCAATTGGAATCAAACTTTGTTAAACTTTAAACTTAAACTTAATTAAAGAGTCCACCTAATCGTATTAAAACTTAAAGTAAAACTTATAAAATTCGAAATCCAACTTGATATATATATTAGTAACGATGTGTGTGCTTTTGTGTGTGATTTGCTTTGTAAAGTCCTTTGTTCTTTAGTTCAAGTTGATTTTGTTCCTCCGCTGTTTCCTTAGACACAAGTATTCATGTACATTTAAATATGGCTACATATGCTTGAAGGCCTCTTTTTTTTTTGCTTGGTTGAGTCCTTGAGATTGTTGCGTAGATTTTTGATTTGCTGCCGCTGCCTGTCGCCTGTTGCCTCCTGCCAGCTCTCTCTGATCTGCTCCTGCCTTCTGACTCCTGCATCCTGCATCCTGCCACCTGCTCCTCCCGATCTGTAGCAACTGTAGCAGCTAACCCGCTTATTAATCTTCAATTTCCCCAGTGACTGTCCGCTCTGCTGTCCCTTGCCTTTCCAGCTTATCGTTATGTCCCTTCTAATATGACTAGAACTTGAAAAATATCGACAGCTTACTATTTCTCGATATTTAAAAGGAGTTTTCCCTTGAAAAAATCGATATTATCGTATCAATTATGGGAAAATATCGAAAATATCGATAATTTGCAAGCTTTATAACAAACGCAAAAGGGGAGAGGGTCCAAAGTATTCCTAAAGAAAGCAAAACTAGGTAGTAAACGATTGTAATTTATCAGTTATATCTTTTTTTCCATATCAGTGGTTATCCTAATGATATAGTGGAAATATCGAAAATATCGATAATTTTCAAGCTCCAAAATATTCCAAAAGAAAGCAAAACTAGCTAGTAAACGATTGTAATTTATTAGTTATATCTTTTTTTTCCATATCAGTGGTTATCCTAATGATAAATTTCACAACTTTTGAACTGCGTTTATCAAACATCTAGAAATTTCTGGAAATGCCGGCCCTGAAATGTTCTAATCAATCAAAATGAAATTAAAGCCATTTCACGATATATATGCATATTTTTAGAAAAAGCCTTATAAATATAGTTTCTTCTTTCACTTTAAAGTCTAAACTCATAGTCTCAAGGCCAGAATTTCGACGATTACTTGCGATACATTGTAGACCTTATGTATATATAGAGGCCCCACATGGAGAGCCCCCAACTGAACCACAGATAGGGTTACAGATAGGTATAAATGAGGCCCAACTGATATAGATACGCCGGGTAATTGTTTATTTAAAGTGTAGGCAAGCGATAAGAGTGCATTTTTTGGGTGCAAACTATGGATAGTCGTCTTTAACTACAATTTTCAGCTAGTCATGGAGTTAGAGCCCCTACAAAAACCGAGCTTATCTATAGTCTATGAAATGTTAGAGGGCAAAAACACCTGTTTGTGGGGTTTTGTTTTGACTATTTGTCTGTTTATTTAATTGCCAGCGGCGGTGACGTAAACATAATTGAAACAGATTAGATGAGAACATGTTTATTAAATAGTAAAAGTAACAGCTGTAAAACTCGTTTCTGCTACGCAATGCTTAGTTACAGTTTTTTATGAAATGGGAATGGTATAATGACTAATTGGCCAAAGCTGAATCATATTCAAGTTCGAGTTGAACGAAAAAACATGATTTATTAAATATATATATATGTACAGAAGAACCACTTGGAAAGCAGGGCGATTAGCACTTTACAATCTAATACTTTAGGCACTTGGGTTTGAAATTGAAAGATAAGTTTACATATATTTTGTATGGAAAATGTATAAAAATAGTTTTGGGGGCAAGAGCACCGTTTCACTTTACCATCCTGCACCATTTCTCGCTTCTCCCTCTCTAAAATATGATATGATATGATATCTACACTCACATCCCACTCATCCTGTAAACTTAAGACTTTTGGACGAGGATCACACCATACTCCTTAGATATATATGATATAAAATATTAAATTTAATCGCTTTACCGGCTAAGTAGTAGTACTTTAAGGGACCTAAGGCACCACCTAATGTATATATATTGTATAATGATCATAATTGCAGGCATATAGCATCGGTCTGTTGCGATCCGACTATATGGCACACGTGTCCGAGGGCTGTGCGATAAAGCAGGTCGAGATCAACACGGTGGCCTCCAGTTTCGCTGGCATTGCCACCCAATTGGTGCCGCAGCAGAAGTATTAAGCGCTCTTCTCTCTATCTCTCTATCTATCTACTTGTAACTCCAAAATGCACAAACACACACCTGAAAACAAAAAGAATTAAACACACCTGTCTTCCCCAAGCACCCACCTCCCACTTACGCACGCATTGATCACTAATCATCGATAACCGATAACTGATCACTGATCACAACTGATCCCACATCGCTTGTTGTCTCTGTTTTGCATGCGGTTTAATTGGCTCTAGCTTTATCCGTCTCTTTCCAAACGCTGTAGTAGCCTAACATTAATCACATTTACTTTCTAAACCCCTCCCCACATTCACCGATTTCCCTAACCCCTTGTTGCGGTTTTCTGGTCTCAGTAATTAACCCCCATCTGACCCCCAAACATTTGTTGTTGTTTGTTGCTGTTGTTGGTCATCCCAGTGATTACGGAACTCTGCTAATCCATCTCTTTCCGATCCGGCACTCCCCGTCTCTTTCCTCCGCGCAGATTTGTACTCAGCGAACTGGGACATGCGGATAAGTTGCACAATGTGAGTATTATAGATCTAAAATTACATCTAAAATTACTTTCAAAATGTCTAAAATAAAGAATTTTGTCATGCATTTAATATGTACATTGTAGATATTTATTTATTGTAGATATATTTAGGAAATTCTTCAACCCTTAGATTTAAATTTCAGTAATAAAGATCAGAAAAACTATATTTTATGTATAAGTGTACCTTTGAACTTTAGAGGTTCTTAAAAAAGGGTTCAAAAGGAAGTTTTCCGTAATAAAGATCTGAAAATCATATAAGATATTTGAGTACTTTTAAAACTTTAGAGGTACTTAAAAAGTAGGAAGTTTTTTTTATATAAAAATCCATTTTGAAAAGTTAATAACTTCCAAATGTTGAAATGTTTTATTGAAATGTTGTATTTTATGCATTCAAAAAATACTTCTTAAAATCAGTATTAAATAATAATGCTTGTTAAATATATCTACGCTCCAGATGCCCAATAATAATGCCCTGGCCGGACTTTGCGATGGGATGGTCAAGGCGTGGGACATCTACGCCAAGCCGAAGGCTGTGATCCTGTTCATCATCGAGGATGTGTCGTATAACATCTGCGACCAGCGCTTCCACGAGTTCTACATTCGGGAGACCTATCCGCACATCAAGGTGCTGCGTCGCACCCTCACCGAGGTCCATCGGGAGGGCAAACTGGGCCAGGCCAAGGAGCTCCTGCTGTAGGTGGATCTTGCATTGCTACCCACAAAGCCCTAATAACTTTTTTCATCATTTAATTTCAGGGGATCCCAGGAGGTGGCCGTCATCTATTTCCGGGCTGGCTACGAACCCGGTCACTATCACTCGCAGTCGGAGTGGGATGCCCGCTATCTGATGGAGACCTCGCTGGCCATCAAGTGCCCCTCCATCCACTACCATCTGGCCGGAACCAAGAAGGTTCAGCAGGCCCTCGCGCAGCCGGCTGTCTTGGAGCGCTTCATCAACGATCCCGAGGAGATCAAGGCGGTGGGCAAGATCTTTACGGGCCTCTATTCGCTGGACGACAACGAGGCGGGCAATGCCACCTACGAGATGGCGCTGCGCACTCCGGAGAGATTCGTTCTGAAGCCCCAGCGCGAGGGTGGTGGCAATAATGTTTATGGCGTGGATATACCCGATGCCCTAAAGGTAATTATTATATTTTATTATTTTATGTCTCCATCTTCCTCGCACTGCTAGCTAAGTGAGGGGTATCAGATGGTCGGGACACCAACCCGAAAACGAAAAAAAAGGACAAAAAAAATTTAAAAAGGACAAAAGTTACTTCTTTAATATTTTTGTGTTTTTGTTAATATGTTAAATTTTCTACTAATTTAAATTGACTTTTAAATTCCGTGTTAATCGGCATTTCTTTATGGCTCAACCGATCGTTTTTGAACTTATCGCACATTTTTCTGTATTAAAAAGATTTTTTTTTATTTTTTAACATTTAAATTTATTTTTAAAACGAAAAATTTAATTTTTTTTAGCAAAAAATCTAAATTTTGGACTTTGGCAGGTCGAATAAAATTCTGGAACTCAAAAATTATAAAAATAAGATACTAAAGGTTTGAATTAATTACAACTAACCAGTTTTAAAAGAAAAAATCGAAAAGTTAGTTGATTTTTTGATGATAAAAACATAACCAAAACCAATGACTAGCAAAACTAACATTAAATAACTTGATTTAAAAACAAGAGAGAACGCTATAGTCGGGTGCCCCGACTATCAGATACCCGTTACTCAGCTAAAGGGAGTGCGAAAGAGATGGAGAAAAACTTTGATCCGCCGTAACTTTTTAACGAATGGTCCGATTTAAAAAATTTCTTCTACATTTCGATAGGTATTGATAAACACAATAAAACTGCATTTTTACTTTTCCAAAATATTGAAATTTTTAAAATCGTATATATGCGATTGTGGGCGTTAGAGGGGGCGTGGCACCCTTTTGAAACAAACTTGCGCTGCGTAGGAACTCCTAGAATCTGCATGCAAAATGTCAATCTTCTAGCTTTTATAGTTTCCGAGATCTCAGCGTTCATACGGACAGACGGACAGACAGACAGACGGACAGACGGACAGACGGACATGGCTAGATCGACTCGGCTAGTGATCCTGATCAAGAATATATATACTTTATGGGGTCGGAAACGCTTCCTTCTACCTGTTACATACTTTTGCACGAATACAATATACCCTTTTACTCTACGAGTAACGGGTATAAAAAGGACAGATTTCCTGCTTGATTGACATTTTTTCCGGATAAAGCCGTTAAAAAAGGACAGATCTGTCCAAAAAAAGGACAAAATGGCAGCACTACATTGGGCACACGTCGATTCTTCTTTGTGTCGCCAATCACACTTTTCATTCATAGACTAATTACAAACTTTTTGTTAATGATCGATTTTATTGTCAGAAGAAGTTTATGCTTATCTATAAATCCTTTTATATATTTTATCTTACAGCGCATGTCGCGCGTGGAGCGCTCTGCCTGGATCCTGATGGACCTCATCCATCCGCCGCTGACCAAGGGCTATATGGTGCGTCCCGGCGGTGATATGCCGCCTCAGATCGTGGACATGGTCTCCGAACTGGGCATCTTTGGCGTGGTGATCGGCGATGCCGAGCACATTGTGCACAACTATCAGGCGGGTCACATGCTGCGCACGAAGCTATCGACCGCCAACGAGGGGGGCGTGGCCGCCGGCCTGGGCGCCCTCGACAGTCCCTATCTGATCGACAGCGATGACGATGAGGATTTGGATCAGATTTAGTAAGAGAACATGGTCCAAACGCCGGCATTCCACCTCAGTTGCCTCAGTCTTGTATAAATGATTATTTTTGTAAAGCGTATTGTACATTTTTCACATATATCCTCCACCCAAAATTGCAATAAACAAAACGTACAGTTAGAAATCCTCGTCAAGGTGTAAACTGGATTTTGGGATTAAAGCTTTGCAACACAGTTAATGCGAACTCTTAGTATCTAGGGTCTATCACCGGGGATTAGGAGTAGTTGATCATGCGCAGCGTTCACTACCTCACCAGCTTGCGGTAGCTGGCGTCCATCAGGCGGTCCACCAGGCTGTCGATGGGATGGATGATCAGCGGGATGCTGGCCAGGCCCACCAGAGTGGGCACCGTTTTCAGCACGGGCATGGGCGCCCGACTGAGCAGAGTTTTGGTGGCCCAGGTGATCCTAAAAAGAATAGTAATAAATAAAAAATGTGAGAATAGTAATAATAAAAAATACCATATGCGAAGTCAATGATAAAGTGGGTAGATATTTTAATTATTAAGATTTTTCATTAAAATAAATTAAAAAACCTGATAATAATTAGTGGGTATATTAACTTGGCGTTAGTTAAACCAAATAGTAGCCAGTTAAGGTTTTTTACTGTTGGCGAATAAAGAAATAAATAAATAAATAAATTAACCCAAATAAAATAATGATATGTACAAAATAATATAATGTTTACAGAGTTAAAACCCGTTTTTCATGATATAAAGTATATAGCATTATATTACATTACTATTCAAGCTAGTCAATGATAAAGTGGGTAAATATTTTAATTATTGAGTATTTTTTCATTAAAATAAATAAAAAACCTGATAATAATTAGGGGGTATATTAACTTGGCGTTAGTAAAACCCAAAAAACAAATGATATGTACAAAATAATATAATGTTTGCAGAGTTAAAACCTGTTTCTCGTGATATATAGTATATAAGATGGAATTACGTTACTATTCAAGCTGGCCATTACGTAATCGATGAGATAGAAACCGATAGAACCCCCAAGATCTTAACCCCCTAACCATAATCGAGATATATGGGTTTTGGGTGGATGACCAGGTGAACCCACCGATTGATGACCATGCCGGGAATGGCGACGGAGGCCAGCATCTGCCAGCAGAAGACGTCGCCGCCCTTGATGGCCACCTCTCTGGAGGATGCCCCGTCCATTTGGAGGCGCAGGGCCTTATCGAAGGTATCGGTGCAGACATAACCGATGGCCATGCCATAGGATGCGGCCACGAAGGATTTGGGCACCAGTGGGCGGAAGGACTCGCCGATTTCGTTGCTGTAGCCTGGAAATCGGATATATAATATAATAATAATAATATAGTTGGATATCCTGATCGGAACTCACCCATGTAGCGAATGAAGGTGTCGCGATATATGTCCACATCCCTGGCGGGCTGTTTGAAGGCCGTTTCCACAGTCTCCTTAATTTGCTTGTCCTCCGACATTGTCTTCACTGTAGTTTATCACTGTTTATGTGGAATGTCGAGTTGGGTAATATCTGATGATGACGGAAAACAGCTGGAAGCCCGGTTCCCTACAAGTTCATTATTTATCTAAATTCAAATTTAACCGACGCAGTGGATTCGATTCGATTGGGATTCGATAAGGTGCAAATAAATTAAAAATATTAATTAATTGTAATTAAGCTGCGCGTATCGATAATAGGCCGTCGTTATCGATTGGCAGGCAGCGAGAAACAAGCTGAAAGTAGCTAGATTTTTACATTTAAATTTAATAAATATTTCTAATTTTAAATTAAACTTCATGGTGAATGTACGTTTAGATATTACAAATAAAACTTAATAAAATTTGTGTGTCCAAATTTATGGTTATTAAATTTAATGTACTAAAAGATGCTTATGTCAAACATAAAAACAAGAAAACTATGGAATTCAATAGGTTAAATAATATAACAGTATATTTTTATAACTAAAATTATATGTTTTATAGATTATTGAGTTCTTCAGAAAATATATACTTTGATAATATTCAAAAATAGCGCCAAACGATGTTTTCCTATCGCCATCCCTGTCGATTTCCGCAGGCCCTGTTAATCTAACCTATCGATAAACCCATACAAACAAGACGTCGTCATTCGTTGGAATTCCAACAAATAGTTAAAATAGTTAAGTTCTCCTTTTGTTTAACAGCCAACGAGTTAGCCAGTGACGCTTGCCTGGATTTCGGAGCAAGTCAGCCAGCATAAATGTGAGTAACGCCAGGAAATCCCCCTCGGAAATCGCCCCCCGAAGTTCGCGACTCTGGTGTTTTTGTCAATGCCGCTGTGTGTGGAGCATTAGTCATGCCCAGAAATTCGATTTTGCTCGCGAACTGCGTCACCGAAGGACCCTGAAACTGGAACCGGAATCGCTGGAGGATGGGGAATCTCCACGAGAGAGGACCGGGATGAGGAAGAGGAAGCAGGAGCCTGGAGCCTGGAGTCTTCGGACTCCCGAAATTCCGATGGGGAGGGGCCAATACTCCCCGAAATACAGTCGATAACGAATGCGATCTTAAGCTATAATGTCGGGGAAGTTGGGATCCCATTAATGGTATCCATTATGAACAAAGTTAGGATCCCATGCAGTCAACATCTTGTACAAATCAATATTGTTACTAAAACTCATAAAACTACCCATTTTTAAACGGGTTCTATATTATAACTATTATAATATGAACTAAAAAAGGATATAGTTTAATTGTATTATGGGTTTCACATCCCGAATCCTTAATTTAAAGCAGTTTCTATAATTCGATGCCCCAGAAAATAATATTAGCTTTACAATATATACTAGTTCCAGTTCTAATCAAAGTAAAACTTACTTTTAGTCAGAAATAATTATATAAATTTATTTTAAAGGATATAGTTTAATTGCATTATGGATAAACTTTACCTAAACAGGTTTCACACCCTGAATCCTTAATTTAGAGCAGCTTCTATAATTCAAAGCTACAGAAAATAATATTAGCTTTACAATATAAGCTAGTTTCGGGTTTAATTTAGTCAGAAATAAATATATAAATTTATTTCAACACCTATAAACTTAAAATCAATCAGGAGAAAAATGAAAATTCGTTTGCCTCAGTGGAACAATAAAATAAAATTTAAAAATACTCGGTTTCCCATTAATTGTTCTGATGTCATTTCTGATATACAGCTTATTTTTGAAAACCCGTCTATATTTCAGCACCATGGCAGCCGGAACCACACTACAGAAGGCCATCGATCTGGTGACCAAGGCCACCGAGGAGGATCGCAACAAAAACTACGCGGAGGCACTGCGTCTCTACGAGCACGGCGTCGAGTACTTCCTGCACACCATCAAATGTAAGGAGTTACTCTATAGCACCAATAAAAAAATCCTCTAAAATATATGTACCCCCCAAAAACAGATGAGGCGCAGGGCGAGAAGGCCAAGGACTCGATACGAGCCAAGTGCCTGCAGTATTTGGACCGCGCCGAGAAGCTGAAGGAGTACCTGAAGAAGGGCAAGAAGAAACCGCTCAAGGAGGGCGGCGAGTCGAGTGCCAAGGACGACAAGGACAAGAAGAGCGACAGCGACGACGAGGATGGCGATGATCCGGAAAAGAAGAAGCTGCAGAGCAAGCTGGAGGATGCCATTGTGATCGAGAAGCCCAAGGTTCAGTGGTCCGATGTCGCGGGCCTCGAGGGCGCCAAGGAAGCGCTGAAGGAGGCCGTCATTCTGCCGATTAAATTCCCGCAGCTCTTCACCGGCAAGCGTATTCCATGGAAGGGCATCCTGCTCTTCGGACCGCCCGGCACGGGTAAATCGTATCTGGCCAAGGCCGTCGCCACCGAGGCCAATCGCTCCACATTCTTCTCGGTTTCCAGCTCGGATCTGATGTCCAAATGGCTGGGCGAGTCCGAGAAGCTGGTCAAGAATCTCTTCGAGCTGGCCCGCCAGCACAAGCCGTCGATCATCTTCATTGACGAAATCGATTCGATGTGCTCGGCGCGTTCGGACAATGAGAACGACAGCGTAAGGCGCATCAAAACGGAGTTCCTTGTGCAGATGCAGGGCGTGGGCAATGACACCGACGGCATACTCGTTCTGGGCGCCACCAACATACCCTGGGTACTGGACTCGGCCATCCGTCGGCGATTCGAGAAGCGCATCTACATTCCGCTGCCGGAGGCGCACGCTCGCCTCGTCATGTTCAAGATCCATTTGGGCAACACCACGCACGTGCTCACGGAGCAGGATCTCAAGGAGTTGGCCGGCAAAACAGAGGGGTAATTGTTAGTTAAACCTTTTAATACCAAAACTAAGTGATTGATTTTGTTCGCAGCTACTCTGGCGCGGATATATCGATCGTGGTGCGCGACGCCCTGATGGAACCTGTGCGCAAGGTGCAGACCGCGACGCATTTCAAGCGCGTAACCGGTCCCAGTCCCACCAACAGCGAAGAGATTGTCAACGACCTGCTCGTTCCCTGCTCGCCGGGCGATCCGGGAGCCGTCGAGATGAACTGGATGGATGTGCCCAGCGACAAGCTCTTCGAACCGCCCGTTACCATGGTGGGGATTCTAGATATTTTATTTATTTTCCTTATATTTACTTGTTTCGTATTCCCCCAGCGCGACATGCTGAAGTCCTTGTCGCGCACGAAACCCACTGTCAACGAGGACGATCTGAAGAAGCTGCGCAAATTCACAGAGGACTTTGGCCAGGAGGGCTAGATCACCGATCCCCGATGCCCGATCCCCGCCAGAAGCCGCCAGCACCACCAGCTAATTCTAATTGTTGCCTATTGCATAAATTCAAACACGTTTTACTTCTGGCTCTCCTTAAACCATTCTTTTTTTTATTATTTTATATATATAATATGATATGTAAACCTACGATTTATGGTTAAATTGTAATTCAAATTCGTCGGGCGATTGCTACAGAGACAGGGAAGAGATGAAATGGAGATGGATGGATGTGCAGTGTGTGGGATTGTTGTAATCACAAAGTCAATGTATTTTTGTACTCTTAATGTTAAGCGATGGAAGAAGTCCGAAAACAATGCCGAATGCAATACCAGATCGCATCAGGATGAGGAGAAGGAGTAGCAAGTGGAGGAGAAGCAAGTTTTAGCGCAGTCGAGCAAACCTATTTAAAATGTAACGTACCAGAAATAAAGCCGAAAATTGTATACTTTACCGACATCCCGAGAATGCCAATTGCCAATTGTAAATTGTAAGCTGCCAGTGGAATCCCCACCGCCGCAAATGACGGTGGGGATTCCACTGGTGGCGGAGAAACCCCGAGAAACCAAGAGAGCTGAAGCACTTTTGGCCTAAAGTGGCGCAAAAGAATGTCCGCGACTTTTGCCGCCTGCTGCCCTACATGCTACATGTACGATAAGATCTTTCTGCGCTGCGAACCGATCGGCCCACCAACATAATTTCGTTTCTGGCCGATCGGCAAAATAAAGTATCGGGCATGTTGTGGGCGCACTGTGGAATCGTCCCGACTTCTTGGAGTTTAAATTAATTTTTTTTTTTTAATTCTGGATAATTTTTAATGTACTATGTATTTTAAAGCATCCATGTTTATTTTAGGTTTAAATAGCTTTACCTATCTTGGCTCCCTTTTAGTTATTAAAATAAATGCTGTAAAATGTCAAAAGTTACTTTTTATTTAAAGAAGATTAAAAAAAAAAAATGATGTTTTTTTAAGATATTCTAATTTTTAGATTAAACGGATCATGGATTATTCCTAGAATTATAGGTATCTATTCTACCTATTTTATTTTATATCAACTTTAATTATTTTCACTCCACTTTAGTAAGAAAAAATAAACTAAACAAGTTAAATATATTTTTAAAGGGGTTTTTAATTTTCCAACCAATTATAACCATTAATAATATTTTTTGAAAATATAACAATTGTATTATTTTGTATTATAAAAGCAAATTGGTTCCACTGTGCGACGCCGAAAGCTCCCGAGCAGTGATTGTGGGTTCGGCTTCGACTTCGTCTTCGGGTTGAGTTTGGGCCGGGCTTTGAGCTAGAGTTTTCAGTTGATCTTCAGCCGCACAGGCTAGAGGTTCGAGATTCAGATTCGAAATTCCGAGGATCGGTCCGCGTTCATTTCTCGCCACTTTTCGCCCGCACATTCGGCAGTTCCGTTACGTGAGTGCAGTTGCACAGAGCCAAAGATACAAAGATACAGAGCCGAAAGACACAGATACACGGCAACAACATTTCTCGGTTTGTTTTGCGCAACTTTTTTATTTTTCGGTGACCAGCGTGAAAAGCCCGATGCAAGATACGAATTCGAAAAGAAGTGCGTATTTGTTGTGATTTGTTTTTGTTCGGTGTTCAAGTGGCTGTTGTTTTCCAAAGGTGCATTAATTACCTGGCCCACGGGGCTGGGCCCTTACTTTACACACCCTATTATCTATTTTATTTGATCTCTTTATTTTTTTTTTGAGTGCTGTCCGTGGTGCACGCAGGAAAAATATTTACATTTACCTAAACCCTCAGATGTGGTTTAAATATTTGGAGAAAAATTAACAAAGGTTTTTGTGTTTAAAAATATGTATATGGAATGTATTTTTGTGTTTTTTGTGGGTTTTATAAAATATAATGAAAGTTTCTTAAATGCTTTTTTTTTAATAAATAAATAAACATTAAACATTTTGGATTTCGTTTTCCTTTGAAAATATTAAAATAGGTTTTTTATTTCAATGATTTATGTTGAATGGAGTGAACTTAGTTTGTGTTTCAGATTTTGCTGATATATTTTTAATTTTTAAATATTTGTAATTTATTTATTTAAATTTAATATGATATTATTCAAATAGAAATAAGTCTGATATCATGGTATTTCGAGTATATAAATATGATTAAAAATAAAAAACACTGAGTAGAATCTTCAATATGATATTATACAAAATGGAAAAAAGTCATAGTTTAAATAAAGAATAAATATTTCGATAATTATAACTATTATAACTATTAAATGTCCTGATGAGGGTGATCTTGAAAGGGAGTCACCTAATGTAAGTGGGATTTTTTTCTCAGTGTCCCATTGCCGCCGCTGCCGTGGTGAAGCGCAACTTTCACGCGCTTCAGGTGAAAACCGTGAGCCGGGTCCGAAATAAGCGAAATGAAGAAGAAGTTGAGGTTGAAGCCGCCGCACAGCAGCCGAACTCACATAATTTGTTGTTATTTTTTTTGTCTTCAGTTGTTCAGTGTTGTTATTATTATTTGCTCTTTTTCCCCCCAAACATTCGCATTGTTTTACTTATTTTTTTACGTGCTTTACTTTGTGTTTTTGGCTACCGTTTTTTTGTGTCAGTCGCGCCAGTTTTGCGAAACTATTTCAGAAATGCATATTTCTTGCGGCTCAAATGTGTCCAACTGACTGAGTTATGTGCATAAAATTAAGAGCGGGGCTTTTCTTCATCATTTTGATCGGTAATATATTTTTTTTTAGGTGTCTCACTGCTTCTTGCTGCACTGCTTGCATCCAGTTGGTTTGGTTTTTCTTCTTGCGACGGGGCATATATTATGCATGTTTCGATTAAACTTGTTTGCAGAGGCATTAACATCAACACCTCCCCCCTGAAAGTCAGAAAAAAACTAAAAATCATGCTGACATTGACACGAATTGTCGACGGCAGCAACAACTAAAAAAAAACAGAAGAAAAACAAACAAAAAAACAAGACACCACAAACAAAAGTCAAATCATACAGTTTAAAGTTGAGATCCAAACAAAACTGCCAACTTCAAATTTATGACTAAGATTTGTTGTGTGCGCTCCACAATTAAAGTGCATAAAATTCCACCAATGCCAGGCGCCAACAACAATGAAATATATGTATTAATTTGGCTTACAAATTTGTTTTTAGCTAATTCAGTGGCAGATTGCACCGAAAAAAATAATATATTAAAGGGCTCTTTTATTTCAAGTGCAGTTTTTAACTTATTAAAGTGTTTTATGGGTTTATAAACCTTTTTCTTTGGGTTTTATTATTACATTATAAGCTAAATTATTAAACATACCTGTATTTTATGAACCATTATTTAAACATATTCAATTTAATGTTTATTGTTATTAAAAAAAAAAAATATTAAAAATGATCATATATTTTAAACACTATAATTCAAAACAAGAGAGAACGCTATAGTCAGGTTGGTGTCCCGACTATCTAATACCCGTCACTCAGCTAAAGGAAGTGCGAACGCTGTGTCGGGTTGGTGTCCCGACTAATAATCGTAACTCAGCTAAAGGGAGTGCGAGGGAGATAGATATATAATTTTTGATTGCGTATAACTTTTTAATGAATGGTCCGATTTAAAAAATGTCTTCTACATTTCGATAGGTATAAATATACACAACAAAATTGCATTTATACTTCTCGGAAATCTTTAAAGATGTGGGCGCAGGACCCATTTTAAAATCGTTAGTGGGCGATTGTGGGCGTTAGAGGGGGCGTGGCGCTCGGCTAAAATAAACTTGCGCTGCGTAGGAAGCCAAAGAATATGTGTGGGAAATCTCAACCTTCTAGCTTTTGTAGTTTCTGAGATCTCAGCGTTCATACAGACGGACAGACGGACAGACGGACAGACGGACAGACAGACAGACGGACAGACGGACATGGCTAGATCGACTCGGCTAGTGACCCTGATCAAGAATATATATACTTTATGGGGTCGGAAACGCTTCCTTCTAGCTGTTACATACTTTTGCACGAATCTAGTATACCCTTTTACTCTACGAGTAACGGGTATAAATATGAAAAAGTAGGTATTGTGGATCTTAAAAGATAGAGTTCCAATATTATGTAGTCCTCAACATATATTTATTTTTCTCCCCGTGTTCATTTGAAATTGCATTCGGAGTTAAACCAACCGATCGAACAATCAACTCTTGATGATTGCTGGCTGTTGATTGGTTACCACCTGCCGCCTGGGTCGATTTGCCCGAGGAACAAGGTCGTTTACCACGCATATTATCAAATGCAAATGAGCATTATGTCTGCTAAATGCTGGAAAATTTCCTCAAATTATTTAAGCGTAATTTGTTGGATAATGGCCGCATTCAATGCCCCGATCACTTGGGTACATCTTTTGATACGCTAGGCGATTTATTTTTATATATATTTTTTATTTATACTTATATTTCTATTAGCCAAAGTTCCCAGTAGAAAGAAATTATAATTGCCTGGAAAGGAGACCATAAAAAGCAGCGCAAACGAATTAAATTTCTTTTGTTCTTGACAAAGCGACGAAGCAAGGCGTGTAATTAAAAAGCATAATTATTTTTAATCTGGTGTGTTAATTGTGGCTGTCATTACGGTAGCCAAGAGAGTGGAAAGCCGAAGATAACTCGGAGTTCTAGATTTTCTAGCTTAGATTCTGGGAAAACTCTCTTTACAGACTCAGTTACCAGCTTTCATAGAAAATATATATATTTATTTATATATTTAATATAATTTATATCATTGATTAAGAGTAGTTCTTGAAAATGATTGCTATTTTCAGAATATTGATTCGGTAATATCGATGCTTTCAAGGGAAAAGACATATTAAATATCGAGAAATAGCAAACTGTCGATATTATTTCAAGCTCCATTACAAATGCTGTGTTTCTATTTAATATTGATGTAGTGTTTTCCCTGTTATTTTATTACATGACTAGAATTTCCTCTGCGGTTCTGCCTGCCTTCTTTTATTTAACCATCTCATTGTGGTTGGGTAACTGGGCCAGAAGGTTTCATAAGACAAGAAATGATATAGTAGTGCCCGATTAGGTCAACTCGTTCCATGAACCATAACTATAACTGGCAACTTGATGCTGTTGCCGGGAAATGACAAAAGAGTGCTGGCATTTGGATTTGTATTTCTATTTGTATTTGGAGTGTGCTGTCCCCGAAAACTGTGTCACATATATATAATTATGTAGGATATACCCTCCAGTCCATTGCATGCATGTAATTGTGCTGGTTTTATATTCGCTATTGTGGCACTTTACCGTTGCATCCACTTGATTTATGGAATATTGTTTATTGTTCACATGCTGCTGCTGTTCTGCATCGCCAATGAGGCCCCACGAAAAGTTCTGTGTTTCGGAAGGCATAAAAAGCAGCTCGGAAAAAGGAAAAAAGACCACAAATAACCACCACTAATTGCAGACAGTGGCTATTAAAAAAAGGTACACTGGAGAAAATTTGATAGGGCTTTATTGGACTTTTTTATTTTCATTTAATAAGATGATCAAATTATTATAACATTTTAGATGGACATTTTTCCTTTATTAATTGTTCTATTATTTGTTTATTTCTTTTATTTTATAGAATGAAATTTTGTTGTTTTATTTTAAAAGATATTTTTAAAATTATTATTTTGTGTTGTATTTTATTTTATTTTATATTAATTTGTTCCTATAATTTGCATTTCTTTTCCATTATTTGAATTATTTGTTTTCTGTGCAACTATCAACATTAGGCTGAAAATCCCCAAAGACGCGAGCGGAAATTTTATGCTTTGCTGGTTTTCGTTATATTTTCTTGCCCCAACTTTGGCTCTCGACTTGAATCGGATCGGCTTCCTCCCTTTTTTTTCGTTTTTAGTTTTTTTTTTGGTTGCTGGGTCCGTCGTAACAAACAGGAAACTATTTTATGCTGCCATGCGAAAATTGGCTAAGGAAATTTATATATGTATGCATTTTTGGTTTTTGGGTTTTCCGCACTTCTTTTAAATGTACCGTTTTTTTCTGTTTTACTTTTTTTTGATGTGGGCCTGCAATCAGACATTTGCCATCGGTGGCAAGTTCGTTGCCTAAGTCTTTCGTTTGGCAAGTGGCATTTTGCCCAGAAAATAAGAAAAAAAAGTTTGACGATACGGGAATACACTTGAATTGAATGTGAATAGTAAGTAAATGGTAATAAAATAAATTAGCAAATTAAGACATTTTTTAACAAAAGAATGTGGAAACTTTAGAGCTTCTACGATTAACATAATTTGCGAAATCAGACTGGGAACCCATAAATCATATGGGATTTCTTCATTAACTGTCCGATTTCTTAGTGGTGCGAAGTAATATAGGTTTAGCAATTGCGTTGAGGTTTTTTTCTGTATATCTTTGGCTTGACAAATCAATCAAATCGCTTCATGCGAATTTCGATTGCACAAAGTCACAAGGCGAAGACAATGCATTGGTATTGTTTTTAGTTTTCTTACGTTTTTTTTATGTTTTTTATTTTGTCTGGCATTTGGCAATGCCGAGTGGCCATTTCCATTGTCCGCCATTCGTTTGGCTCACGTCCAGAGTTAAATGAGACATTCCGGCGGACAGGCAGAAGGTAGAAAAAAACAGAAACAGAAAATGTTGCCAAGCTACGGACTGCACTTTTCTTTGGCATGGTTCGGTTTTCCCAATCGATTTTGCAGACTTTCCCAGCCAGTTCTCAGTTCGTCTCACTTTTTCCCATTCAAATGGGACCTACACTGGGAGAAAATCAATGGAGAAACTATTCTATTGAATGCATAGAAGCTAAAATAAAATATTAAAACAAAATATTTTATTGAAATATTTTGGACCAAAAAGGTAGCTTTAAAATGTTAATAAATATAAATAGAAAATGGGGCATTTAAATTATCTGGTTAGTAAAAAGGTAAAAAAATAAAATTAAATTTATATTAGATATTTTGAAAAAAAGGAAAGCTTAATAACGTATACAAAATCATAAAAAACAACATTTTAGTAGAAAGTCAAAGGAAATTGTGTTAGATATTTTTAATAAACAAGGTAGCTAAATCCCTCGATTTAATTTTTCTCTGTGTATTCAGAGTTTCTTTTCCCAAGTACCTGCATCTGCTTTTTCCATGTGCAGAGATCACAGTCACTCGTTCTTCGTAATAAGCTGAATTAGCCGCCAAACGCGAAAATGAGCAGCGGAAAGCGTCAGAGGCGCCAAATTGGGTTAATCTATTTGAAAGTGGAAGCGTTGGACGCGGCACCGCCAGCCAGTCAACTATATATATATAGAAATACATATAGAAATCAACATCTGATAGAGCGAGCCCGTGCGAAAGTCGCCTTAGAAGTATTATTTTGTGCGTTACTTTCCATTTTGATGGCGATATTCGATGCTGTTTGTCTCTGCTTTCTCACAGCAACTTCACCTGTCTTCAGCGTCTTCATTCTTTAACGGTACTCGCCTTTTAATTTCGCTTTTCGTCGGACCCATCAACTTTGGATGCTCAGCGAACAAAGGGCTTGAAAAAAAAACCCCCCCATTCCCTTTTGATGATAATGAGCTGCTGACATCCGCTGGGATCGGTGGGGTATAGCTAATGAAGAGGCGATCAGTTTAGTCACGGCATCTGTTCCGTTGAGGAAATCATTATTGACAGGATGCAACTAAATCGAAGAAAAGCTGTCGTTTAATGCCTTTTATTTTCTAAAATTAGTCTCATTTGTCGAATGGTTCATGACAGTACAACCGTTTACTTCATGGTTTGGTCTACTAAAAGACGTTTTGAAAAAGATAATGTATACAATTAAATGAAATCAATTTAATCAATTTAAGTTTGATTGGTTTTATGATTCTTTTTTTTAATTTGTAGTTTTCGAAGAAATATTTAATTGGTTCTCAGAAATATGCTCAAACATTAAAAAAATTGTCTCTAATTTTTAAAAGATTTCTTGGAACTAAGAAAAACATATCCGGTTGAAAAACATTTGTGGTTTTATCAACATAAATTAACATATTTTATTTTCGTAGATACAAATGTATTTATTTGTATTTATAAATATATAATTAGACCTTATCAGCAACCTTATTTTAGTGCCATTTTAGTTTATAAAGTTTATAAGTTTGTAGAAACATAATTTTAATTTATCCAAGTTAATTTAGAAATAGTAAATTTAGTTTATAAAGTTTTTGGTTTCTAGAAACATAATTTTAATTTAATCAAGTAGAAATAAAAATAGAAGCTTAAGGAAGAGTACATTTTTATAGGAAATATTATTTAAAATATTTTATATTCTTCATCACTTGCACTAAATCCAATTTAGGTTACTTAAAGGCTTGGCAATCTGTGCCGTTCTTTCGAAATCTAACAGTGCAATGTTATAAATGCATTCGTTGTCCACCGAACCGATGACAAAATAATTCGTGGACAAAGGTATCTCTGTTTTGTTTGGAACTACTGTTGCACAATCGCCGGTCTTTGGATGCTAATTGATGGATCACGCCGCCCGCCCAACGAAAGTGAAATGTTGTTGATTGAAGATCGCGCTTGTTAATCGATAGGAGAAACAGTTTAAGTGCGGTTTTGGTTTCGGTTTCGGTTTCAGATACAGATACAGTTTCCAGTTTTTTTTTTATGACCAAAGGTTTTCACTTTCGTTTGTCACATTATTGGCTCTTCGCCTGAGTCACACCCCGTCGTCAATTTGGGGCCGAGTAAATTAGCCAAAAGTCAACAAACACCCATTGCCTGTTGACCCAAATGTGCGAAGCGAGGCGAGGCGGCCAAAAGCGGTCGGGCGGGCTTAAGCATTTAGGCCAGAATGCTCGGCAGTCAAGTGTAAGGTCAATGGACTAAACGCCGCAAGATGCAAGATGCAAGACACATGAGACATGAGCTGCACATGCGCAACATCCTGTTCGGGCGCCAGTGCAACCGGCCTATTATACAATGGCCAATGGCTACACGGGGAGAAAAAATGAGGCCTATTGACCAGAAATTGGTTGGTTTATTATACCAAATTCAATGAAGTTTTTTTACTGAGTGATACAACATTTCTAGGGAAAAATATTATTTCTGTTTTTACAAAAAAAGTGTAAATTACATCTTTTAAAGTTTAGGTGTTCTTTCTTATAAGAAAAATATATATATTTTTTAACTGATAGTTTTATTAGCATTTAAAGTATTTACAATGGGCTTGCGATTATTATATGGTTTGATTATTTTAATATACATATTATTTACGAACTTATGTTTTTTTTTAGATTTTTATGTCAATCCGTTCTGGGTGATTTATGCTACTGACCGTTTTTATGAGGTCCAATTTTATATTGTTTAAGATTTAATTATATTATATTATTTTATGGCTTGTTTTTTTTAACGTGTATGAGCTTGACTCTTCTGATTGCAGACGACTGATCGCCAGCCATCAATCAGGCCATCAATCAGTCAATGCCGCTTGTCGCAAATTGGAGCTGGAGTCGGAGCCGCTCTCCCTTCTCGGAGAAAGCCAACAGCGTCTGCCAAACGGATTCGTCGCAGAAACAGAAACAGATACAGATAGAGATACCTCAGATACCTGGAACCTGAAACCTGGACAGGGGATCCAATACTCTAATAGATAGATATACTCGGTACTCGATATTCGTTACTCGATATTCGAGTTTGGTGTCTGTCTGCCTTTTGGCTAACTCAGTCAGTGAGTCAGACACTCGGACATGCAGTCATAGTTATAGTCACGACTCCACATCCACGTCGTCTTCGTTTTGGCTTTGCTTTTTGCGTTGTCGCCCGTCAGGTTCACAAATAAGTGAAAGTGAATTTGTTTATTGTATATTTTGCTATTACCAAAGCGAAAGAGACGCATAACATCCACAATCGCAGATTCATTGAGTGAAAAATAAGAGAAGCGAGACATCGGATGAAGATCGTTATAGAGCAGCCAGAACTACAATCGAGATGGGGATGTTGAGTGCTAGCAATATATTTCTGGCCCTGCTGATATGCCGCACGGCAAGTGGTGAGTATCCATTAACTAATTGCTAACTAACTAACTAATTTACTTAGTGCTCGACTCGAATTTGCTTTTAACGAGTGTGTCTGTCTAGCTGTGTAGAATAAATATAGTACTTTGTTGTATGTGGGTGGTGCGGTGATTGTGTCAATTGAGAAGACGATCAACGAACCACTTCACTGTGATGATTGCACAATGGTCCAGAGGCACAGGCAAAAATAAAGGCCAATGTGGGTCAATTTCTCAAAGTTTTGAACTGCCTCAATTTGCTTTCCTTAGTAAAGTTTATCTTTTTTATTTTGTATCTACTAGTGATTTAAAGTTTTTATGAATTTTCTTATTTAATTTAATACAATTCCTATAGTTTTTTTCTCTGTACTTTTGCTTGCTTACAAGTGTCTGATTGTCTGCGTTGTGAAGGTAAAACCAATAAAGCCAAGAGCCTCCAAGATTAGTTTACCCTTGAGCTGGGCCATGGATTGAAGAGCTGAGGATCAGGCAATTGCCTAATAATATTTATTTATAATTATTTACAAGGGAATTACTTTCCTCGGAAATCAGTGACACTGATAACTTAGTAGTTAAATCATTTCAAGCACACATTCTAAGTGGAAGAATCTGATTCTTTAATTTCATGATCCTAAGCTTCAAACTAATTTTTGTTATATTATATTTTTTATAATAATATATAAAAATAAAAATGAGTCCAAATAGAACTTGGGATATAAATGGCTTACTGCATTCAGTATTAGTAATCCTTAGTACTTCAGTTTAAGGGAACTTGATAGAAATATATATATGTTTTTTTTTTATTGAGCTATCACTATTTCCCCATTTCCTTTCCCAGAAACTAGAAGCTCGTTAAGCCAGCGACGCGTGTTGACAATTTTGGGCCTGCCTTTTAGTTTTGGCTTCAGTTTCAGTTTGAGTTTCGGCTTTTAGGTATTTAGATATTGGGTGTTGGTTTATTGGGGTGTTTTAAAAACGCAATCACGCCCCGCCGATTTATCATACAAACTCGCACACGAATAGCGCTGTTATGTCATCCGCATGGCGTGCGTTTTGTTCGAATTGTTCGAGTGGCGAAGTGCAGGTGGAAAGCGTAAGACGGAAAATTAAAATTAAAATACTTCACGCGTTGTCATTGGAAGAAATTTCAAAAATAGTTGTCAGCACCCCTTAATAACTGTCGATCTGATTGGGCAATGGGTGTTATATCAATGGGGTTATGTCAGCTGGTTAATCTAATTAACTAAAACAAGGGTATACAAATAGGAGCAGCTAGCTGTGGGTGGCCAGCTTGGAACCTGAAAAATCCATTTAAATCGAATGTATCTATCGGCGAACGTGCTTGACATGCACATAACCCTGCTTAATGAATTTATTGGACTTTTAACAACCCTCTGATTCACGTTTGCCTATTCCCTGCCATTCCATTCTGGACATTTATAGCCCTCGCCCAGGAAGTGGCCAGTGGACTAACAGTGAGCTCAGCTCAGCCCTCGCCCGAGAATTTCGCCCAACTATCGCAGGCGGTCGAGGACTCCTTGGTGGAGTACGAGGAGCGTCAGCGGGAGCGATTGCGTCGGGGTCACCGCACCCGAAGGGCGGTGAAACGGGTCTGCTATGGCGAACTTGGCTGCTTCGAGGACTCCGGACCGTTTGCCTATCTCGAGATGCTGCCCTCGCCGCCGGAGGAGATCAATACCAAGTTCTATTTCTACTCCACACGCCAGCGATCCGATCGTCCGCTGATGGAGCTCTCATTCCTGAACATGACAAATGCCTTTCGAGGCAAACGGGATGCGGAGGTCAGCACCAGTTCACCCGAGGGCAGTGGCAGGTCATCCTCCTCCTCTGCCTCCTCCGCCTCCGTCTCGAGTTCCACAAACTCCTCTGCTAGCTCCATCCCTACCACAGAGCGTCCTGGAGGTGGTGGGCAGAAGAAGGCCACGCCTTCGATCGATGACCTCGAGGGATTCGACGAGCTGTCCGTGCGGGTCATTGTCCATGGCTTTGGCTCGGCTTGTCCGCATGTGTGGATCTACGAGATGAAAACGGCCCTCATGGCGGTGGTAAGTGGGAAGGGGAGTGGGACCCGCATTTACAAACTACCTTACTTCATTATGTGACTGGAACCCGCGTTTACTTACTACCTTTTCTTATTAGGGGACTGGAATCCCCTTTTACAAACTACCTTCCTTCATTATGGGACTGGGTCTCGTATTTCCTTAAAACTCTTCTTCATTATGTGACTGAAACCCTCATTTACAAACTACCCTTCTCCTTCATTATGGGACTGGGACCCGTGTTTACATACTACCCTTCTTCATTATGGGACTGGGCCTCGCATTTCCCTAATACCCTTCTCCATTGTGGGACTGGTACCCTCATTTACATACTACCTTTCTTCATTATGTGACTGGAACCCCCATTTACAAACTACCCTTCTTCATCAAGTGACTGGAACCCGCATTTACAAACTACCTTACTTCATTATCTGAATGAAACCCGCATTTACAAACTACCCTTCTACATTAAGTGACTGGAACCCCCATTTGCAATTACCCTTTTTCCTAGTAAGACTGGAACCCGCATTTACCAGCTACCCTTAACCTTTCTAGGAGGACTGCATTGTGATCTGCGTGGACTGGGAGAACGGAGCCACATTCCCCAACTACGTACGAGCGGCGGCCAATACACGTTTGGTGGGCAAACAGCTGGCCATGTTGCTGAGGAACCTCCAGCAGCACAAGGGACTCGACCTGATGCGCACCCATGTGATCGGCTTCAGTTTGGGCGCTCACGTATCGGGATTTGCAGGCGCTGAACTGCCGGGACTGTCGCGGATCACGGGTCTGGATCCGGCGGGTCCGCTCTTCGAGGCCCAGCATCCGAAGGTGCGACTGGACAGTAGCGATGCGGAGTTCGTGGACGTGATACACTCGAACGGCGAGAACCTGATACTGGGTGGCCTCGGCTCCTGGCAGCCGATGGGCCATGTGGACTACTATCCCAACGGAGGACGTGTGCAGACTGGCTGCTCGAATCTCTTCGTGGGCGCAGTCACCGATTTTATTTGGTGTAAGTTGGATATTGTAAGGTATACTTCTTTTTGTACTCATATATATTTCTTTCACAGCTGCCCAGGCTGCCGAGGACGAGGAGGGTCGTTCGTTGTGCAACCATAGGAGGGCCTACAAGTTCTTCATTGACTCGGTGGCGCCACGTTGCCTGTTTCCCGCCTTTCCGTGCGGCAGCTACGATGACTTCCTCAAGGGCCGGTGCTTTCCCTGCGCCCAGGACGACGAGGATCTGGCCGAGGGCGTTCCGCGGTGCGGCAACATGGGCTACTATGCCGACCGATCAACGGGCAGGGGTCAGCTGTACCTGCTCACCCGCGAGGAGGAGCCCTTCTGCGCCCACCAGTTCCAGCTGCAGATCTTCAACTCCTTCAACGACCTGCCGCTGCGCACGATAGGTCGCCTGGAGGCGATCCTCGAGGGCGATGGTGGTCTCAACGAGACCTTCGAGATATCCGAGTGCGTAACAAGCAAAGAGCTTTAATACAGGGTTCGGAAAATAACACACACTGTAAAAAAACTAGTGTTATTAACATGTCAAATGTCAAAGTGTTAAAATTGGGTGTAAAAAATTGTATTCTACACATGTTAACATGTTAGCACACACATGTCATTTGTGTTATTTACGTGTTATTAGCAGGACGTGTTTTTTACACTGCGTGTTTTTAACACAATGAGTTTTTGACATTAAAATGTCAGAATTAAATGTTGAACTGAAAAATGCACGGTTTTCTAGAGTATAAGAATTCAAATATGCTTTGAAATGGGTTTTAACCATTTATATACTAGTTTTTCATTTTCCCTTCGACTCGTTAATGTCAGTGAAATGTAATTTTCATTTGTGCTAAAAACACAGTGTGTAAAAAACACGTCGTGTTAATAACACATTATGTAAAAATCAGAAGTAACACAATTTTGCTCACACTGTAAAATACCATTTTTCATATTTTTAACATGTGTGTCAATTTAATACCCTGCCTTTCGTTTCGCCTGCAGGAAAGACGATGCGGAGTTCTTTGCCGGCGACATAGTGTCCAAGATAATTGTGCCACATCCGGCCCTGGGATTCCCGACCACACTGAGCCTGCACTACAAGTCGTACAGCGGCTGGCTGAGCAAGGGCCTGCCCCACTGGGACATCGATAAGGTGGTGCTGACGGACAGCTTCGGGCGCAGCCACTCGCTGTGCCGCCCCTCGACGAAGCTGAGCAGCGGCAGTCCGGTGCGCCTGCGCCTTCAGGCGGGCAACTGTGAGCTGGACAACCAGGAGGACTACGGGGCGTACACCAATCCCACGGTCTCGCCCACCGAGGCAGTGCCGGATTCGAGTGTCCAGGAATCGGCGGTGGATGGCGTGGAGACGGCCAAGCAGCGCAAGGACATCTTCAATCTGGGCACCAGCTTCAAGTTGGCCAGCAATCAAACGTATCCCCTGGATCAGGGCGACGAGCTGCCGTGGCAGCCCATTCTGGTGGGCAACTCGCTGGACAACGAGACCACCGAGGCGGTGGAGTCCAGTCGAAGTCTCTCCGATTCGGAGGGCGGCGAGATCTTTGAGCCGGTGCTCAAGGATCGTCGGCTGGCGGTGAACAGGGGTCGCAATCTGCAGGATTCGGGATATGCAGGAGGAGCACAGACCACCGACAGTCCGGAGATTGTGGAGCCCGTTCTGAAGGCCACCACGCCGCGTGTCAAGCAGGGCAAGGATCTGGATTTGTCGGAAGGTGATGGAGGCATGGCCACAACACAACGACTGCCGGCCAAAACGATGACCCAGGTGGGCACTGGACGATCCCCGGATCCGGATGAACCGCAAACCGTGCAGCTGTTGCCTTTTCGCCTCGGCGAACTCCTTCAGCGTGCCGAGCGATATGCAAGGGAAACGCTTTTGCCCCTGATTTCCGTTCAGGCACCGCGCTTCTTCGGCTTCAATGTAACGCCCCACGATCGGGAGGCAGTGCAGCGTCCGGGGGAGTCGCGCAAGCCGCGCTACATTCCACGTTACGAGGAGTCGGCCTTCTTGAATACCACCGCTCCCAATGCCAGGCGACGGGCGCAGAAGGCCTCGCGTCGATCGGCAGTGCAGCAGAGGAATCTCTTTCGACTGATGCGTTCGCGATCGCAGAAGGATCAGGATCAGGAGCAGGATGAGGACCAGGACTCGGGGGAGCAGCAGAACTACTACACCAATGTCCTGCAATCGGAGTCCAGGTCTATGCGTCCCGAGACGCCGGAATATAGACCCGTATTCATCGATCTACCCACCTACAAGCCGCAAACATCCGCTGCCATTTCCGGTTCCGTTTCGAGGGCACGAAGGCGTGGCAGATCGTCCAAGCTGATTCCCTGATACTCGGATATCTAAGCTGTCCCGCCATCGGGGGATGAACACTTTGTGATATGCACACCAGATCGTGGCTATGGCACAGCTCCAAAACCCAAAACCCAAATTCCCTCCCCCCCAAAATCCATACCATACCCATCCTCACACTGTAAATATCCGAACGAGCAAGCAAAGATAAAGATACATAGACAATGAAATGGAATTTCAAATCGTGGCCCATTGCGTCTTAGCATAAGATATAAGATATTGAACGTAAGAATTTAAATGTGAGAAATTTAGCTGCTAAGATAAAGCCTAAAGTCGAGGGTCTCGACTTTAAGATACCATAGCTAGTTTGCTTTTTTCTTTTTGGGGTGACGAATGCAAGGTGGGAATGGTCAGTACATGTTTTTAAAATGTTGTTTTTTAGCTCTTGCTTGGTCAAAAAGTATCTTACACAAAAAATACATACTGTTTTGAACAGATAACAAAATTTGCTATAAATCCATAATACTTTCCGTGTGATTTCCCCATGATTTTTTGCGAAAAATTAAAAATGAATAAATTGTCAAGGTTTAAATGCCAATCGTTAGGAAATTTAATAACGAGTTCAGAAAGGTATGACAATCCATACTTTGAATCAGTATTTGCTTTGTTATAGCGAAAAAACTGCAACGTTTTAGCGAAAAAACGGGTTTGGTTTTTTTTTGGAAATTCGCAATTTCAGTTTTTGACAAAAATTGGAATTTTTTTCTTTTGGTTTTTTTGCTGTAACTTGGGCAAAAATGGTCCTACACCAAAAATTCATACTCTTTTGAACAGATAACAAAATTTGCTATAAATCCATAATACTTTCCGTGTGATTTCCCCATGATTTTTTGCGAAAAATTAAAAATGAATAAATTGTCAAGGTTTAAATGCCAATCGTTAGGAAATTTAATAACGAGTTCAGAAAGGTATGACAATCCATACTTTGAATCAGTATTTGCTTTGTTATAGCGAAAAAACTGCAACGTTTTAGCGAAAAAACGGGTTTGGTTTTTTTTTGGAAATTCGCGATTTCAGTTTTTGACAAAAATTGGAATTTTTTCTTTTGGTTTTTTTGCTGTAACTTGGGCAAAAATGGTCCTACACCAAAAATTCATACTGTTTTGAACAGATAACAAAATTATCTTTAAATCCATAACACTTTCCGTGTGATTTTGGAAAAATAAAATTTTCGCCAATTTTTAATTTTTTTATAAGGGGGTACCCCATGATTTTTTGCGAAAAATTAAAAATGAATAAATTGTCAAGGTTTAAATGCCAATCGTTAGGAAATTTAATAACGAGTTCAGAAACATATGACAATCCATACTTTGAATCAGTATTTGCTTTGTTATAGCGAAAAAACTGCAACGTTTTAGCGAAAAAACGGGCTTGGTTTTTTTTTGGAAATTCGCGATTTCAGTTTTTGACAAAAATTGGAAACTTTTCTTTTGGTTTTTTTGCTGTAACTTGGGCAAAAATGGTCCTACACCAAAAATTCATACTGTTTTGAACAGATAACAAAATTTGCTATAAATCCATAATACTTTCCGTGTGATTTTGGAAAAATAAAATTTTAGCCAATTTTTAATTTTTTTATAAGGGGGTACCCCATGATTTTTTGCGAAAAATTAAAAATGAATAAATTGTCAAGGTTTAAATGCCAATCGTTAGGAAATTTAATAACGAGTTCAGAAAGGTATGACAATCCATACTTTGAATCAGTATTTGCTTTGTTATAGCGAAAAAACTGCAACGTTTTAGCGAAAAAACGGGTTTGGTTTTTTTTTGGAAATTCGCGATTTCAGTTTTTGACAAAAATTGGAATTTTTTCTTTTGGTTTTTTTGCTGTAACTTGGGCAAAAATGGTCCTACACCAAAAATTCATACTGTTTTGAACAGATAACAAAATTTGCTATAAATCCATAATACTTTCCGTGTGATTTTGGAAAAATAAAATTTTAGCCAATTTTTAATTTTTTTATAAGGGGGTACCCCATGATTTTTTGCGAAAAATTAAAAATGAATAAATTGTCAAGGTTTAAATGCCAATCGTTAGGAAATTTAATAACGAGTTCAGAAAGGTATGACAATGCATACTTTAAATCAGTATTTGCTTTGTTATAGCGAAAAAACTGCAACGTTTTAGCGAAAAAACGGGTTTGGTTTTTTTTTGGAAATTCGCGATTTCAGTTTTTGACAAAAATTGGAATTTTTTCTTTTGGTTTTTTTGCTGTAACTTGGGCAAAAATGGTCCTACACCAAAAATTCATACTGTTTTGAACAGATAACAAAATTTGCTATAAATCCATAATACTTTCCGTGTGATTTTGGAAAAATAAAATTTTAGCCAATTTTTAATTTTTTTATAAGGGGGTACCCCATGATTTTTTGCGAAAAATTAAAAATGAATAAATTGTCAAGGTTTAAATGCCAATCGTTAGGAAATTTAATAACGAGTTCAGAAAGGTATGACAATCCATACTTTAAATCAGTATTTGCTTTGTTATAGCGAAAAAACTGCAACGTTTTAGCGAAAAAACGGGTTTGGTTTTTTTTGGAAATTCGCGATTTCAGTTTTTGACAAAAATTGGAATTTTTTCTTTTGGTTTTTTTGCTGTAACTTGGGCAAAAATGGTCCTACACCAAAAATTCATACTGTTTTGAACAGATAACAAAATTTGCTATAAATCCATAATACTTTCCGTGTGATTTTGGAAAAATAAAATTTTAGCCAATTTTTAATTTTTTTATAAGGGGGTACCCCATGATTTTTTGCGAAAAATTAAAAATGAATAAATTGTCAAGGTTTAAATGCCAATCGTTAGGAAATTTAATAACGAGTTCAGAAAGGTATGACAATCCATACTTTAAATCAGTATTTGCTTTGTTATAGCGAAAAAACTGCAACGTTTTAGCGAAAAAACGGGTTTGGTTTTTTTTTGGAAATTCGCGATTTCAGTTTTTGACAAAAATTTGAATTTTTTCTTTTGGTTTTTTTGCTGTAACTTGGCCAAAAATGGTCCTACACCAAAAATTCATACTGTTTTGAACAGATAACAAAATTTGCTATAAATCCATAATACTTTCCGTGTGATTTTGGAAAAATAAAATTTTAGCCAATTTTTAATTTTTTTATAAGGGGGTACCCCATGATTTTTTGCGAAAAATTAAAAATGAATAAATTGTCAAGGTTTAAATGCCAATCGTTAGGAAATTTAATAACGAGTTCAGAAAGGTATGACAATCCATACTTTGAATCAGTATTTGCTTTGTTATAGCGAAAAAACTGCAACGTTTTAGCGAAAAAACGGGTTTGGTTTTTTTTTGGAAATTCGCGATTTCAGTTTTTGACAAAAATTGGAATTTTTTCTTTTGGTTTTTTTGCTGTAACTTGGGCACAAATGGTCCTACACCAAAAATTCATACTGTTTTGAACAGATAACAAAATTTGCTATAAATCCATAATACTTTCCGTGTGATTTTGGAAAAATAAAATTTTAGCCAATTTTTAATTTTTTTATAAGGGGGTACCTCATGATTTTTTGCGAAAAATTAAAAATGAATAAATTGTCAAGGTTTAAATGCCAATCGTTAGGAAATTTAATAACGAGTTCAGAAAGGTATGACAATGCATACTTTGAATCAGTATTTGCTTTGTTATAGCGAAAAAACTGCAACGTTTTAGCGAAAAAACGGGTTTGGTTTTTTTTTGGAAATTCGCGATTTCAGTTTTTGACAAAAATTGGAATTTTTTCTTTTGGTTTTTTTGCTGTAACTTGGGCAAAAATGGTCCTACACCAAAAATTCATACTGTTTTGAACAGATAACAAAATTTGCTATAAATCCATAATACTTTCCGTGTGATTTTGGAAAAATAAAATTTTAGCCAATTTTTAATTTTTTTATAAGGGGGTACCCCATGATTTTTTGCGAAAAATTAAAAATGAATAAATTGTCAAGGTTTAAATGCCAATCGTTAGGAAATTTAATAACGAGTTCAGAAAGGTATGACAATCCATACTTTAAATCAGTATTTGCTTTGTTATAGCGAAAAAACTGCAACGTTTTAGCGAAAAAACGGGTTTGGTTTTTTTTGGAAATTCGCGATTTCAGTTTTTGACAAAAATTGGAATTTTTTCTTTTGGTTTTTTTGCTGTAACTTGGCCAAAAATGGTCCTACACCAAAAATTCATACTGTTTTGAACAGATAACAAAATTTGCTATAAATCCATAATACTTTCCGTGTGATTTTGGAAAAATAAAATTTTAGCCAATTTTTAATTTTTTTATAAGGGGGTACCCCATGATTTTTTGCGAAAAATTAAAAATGAATAAATTGTCAAGGTTTAAATGCCAATCGTTAGGAAATTTAATAACGAGTTCAGAAAGGTATGACAATCCATACTTTGAATCAGTATTTGCTTTGTTATAGCGAAAAAACTGCAACGTTTTAGCGAAAAAACGGGTTTGGTTTTTTTTGGAAATTCGCGATTTCAGTTTTTGACAAAAATTGGAATTTTTTCTTTTGGTTTTTTTGCTGTAACTTGGCCAAAAATGGTCCTACACCAAAAATTCATACTGTTTTGAACAGATAACAAAATTTGCTATAAATCCATAATACTTTCCGTGTGATTTTGGAAAAATAAAATTTTAGCCAATTTTTAATTTTTTTATAAGGGGGTACCCCATGATTTTTTGCGAAAAATTAAAAATGAATAAATTGTCAAGGTTTAAATGCCAATCGTTAGGAAATTTAATAACGAGTTCAGAAAGGTATGACAATCCATACTTTGAATCAGTATTTGCTTTGTTATAGCGAAAAAACTGCAACGTTTTAGCGAAAAAACGGGTTTGGCTTTTTTTTGGAAATTCGCGATTTCAGTTTTTGACAAAAATTGGAATTTTTCTTTTGGTTTTTTTGCTGTAACTTGGCCAAAAATGGTCCTACACCAAAAATTCATACTGTTTTGAACAGATAACAAAATTTGCTATAAATCCATAATACTTTCCGTGTGATTTTGGAAAAATAAAATTTTAGCCAATTTTTAATTTTTTTATAAGGGGGTACCCCATGATTTTTTGCGAAAAATT